GGTGGTACATTTATCCTGCTTTTCCTATGCGAGGAAAACGATAAAAACAACCTGGTTGGCGCTGCTACGCACAGATGGTACAACACACGCTCGGATCTGTTGAATCTGGTTTAAGGTGTTCATCTAAAAAGAGCCTTCCGGTTTTTGTCCTATGTCATGCTATCTGTGAGTAGCTGCGTCAACTAGACTGTTTTTACAGGTTTCCTTTTTGTGCACGGAAAAAAAAAAGATGAATTTTTAGGTTTAAGTTTGTAACACAGAATGTGTTATTTGTTTGGCACCTAACCATATCCAGTTAGGTGCCAGCAACAAAAGTCTCTGTACTAACACATCACGTTCTTGTTATAACTGCCTTTGCACGCGAGTACTGCAAGTGGGCGACTTCTTTCCCCAAGAACCTACACTTGTAAAATTTCCGCGTGATAAAGGCACCCCTAAAGGCACCTTTATAAAAAAAAAAGTTGCAGCACAGTTTGTTCATTGGTGTTTTTTTTACAATATTTTCGCACCCGTGTGAGGAAGAGAGGAAGTAGCAGGATACAGCTCTCCCTAAGTTGTCCGTTTATTTCTGTTTGTTCTACAGTTTCAGCTTTTACAGAAGAGCTGTTAAGGGCTAGTTTCCCCAGGATCGTGTACGCCGGATTAGAAATTATGACACCGCACTCTAGACAGCTATCGCAATCTATGAGCGACGGCGGCAACCATACAACTGGCTGCCGCCGTCGTTCGTAGATGGCGGCAACCTTTCTTCGGAAGAAGAGCGGGAGCGGAAAAAGCGACGATGTGCGCAGCAGCGCGAATGGTTCCGGAATTGCCGCGAAGCCGCTATCGCCTAACGTTCCGCTGCGTCGAGCGCTTCAGATTCCCTTGCGAACGAATAGCAGATCGCTCGCCTGGAAATCCACCGCCGAGAATAGAAGCTACCAGCTCCACTACTCTTCCTTCTTCACCAGAGTGGAGAGCCTGAAAGTTTTTGTAGGAAGTTTATTAAAGCGTTAGGATTAGACCCCCCTGACAGGAAAAAGCTGACGGCGTCCGTCTGTGGACAAAACAGTGGAATGGAATGCGGGCCGCGTAGATAGGAGGAGAGTAGTGAAGGACTAAGGCGAGAGGGAGGCGACGTCACTGGGCGGAAGCCAATGCGAGCGCGGATAGTGGGGCAAGCCTTAACTAGTAGATGTGCGAAACGCGTATGCCTTCGTTTGCGCTACAAAATGGAGTCTGAACTAACTACTAGCGGTGGTCCAGGTTGGCGGAAAACATATTAAGGGAAGATTCATTGGTAGATTCTTAGGGAATCCGTTAGTATGAACCTCGGGAAGCGCTAACACTAAGCGCACACTAAGCGCCTAACGAAGCCAAAAAGAGGCAGCAAAATAGAAGGCCAAAACAGAAAAGTGAAGGGACCAGAGTTGGCGTTTCTCAAAGGAGGACATATGTGGCGTTTTACAAACGTCATGCTAACGGATTCCCTAAGAATACACCAATGGATTTTCCTTTTTATTGAGCTCTATACGGAGCGCAAGTTCGTCTGCTTCTTGCACAGGGGTTCCGATAGTGTCAGAACGCCGAGCTTTTATTGGCTGATTGAAAGAAAATAGCGGGTAGACCTCAAGGCATCTTTCATTGAGGTCTACCTATTATCCTTTCGATCAAATCCTATCAGAGCTCGATGTCGTTCCGACGTCACCGCAACTCCTGTGCAAGAAGCAGACGACTAGCTGTCCGCATATCTTTTAAAAGCCCAACCAAGTTCGCATCTGAGCCATACTTTTTCAGTTGGTACCAGTGTTTTGCCTAAATCCCATTGTCTCACACCCCTTTAATGAACAGATACTCTGTACTCAATTAATTTTTTGTTCATCATTGCTACCTTTTTAGAATAATTTTGAATACGTTTTTGCGCATCTATCTTTTAGAAATCCAGTTGTCGAACCCGTTAACGGAATCAGAAAAGGTAACGCCTTATGTATGGGTTTCCGAGGTCGATATGAGGCCTAGACCAGGACGTATTCGATTGTCCACCATGATTTTGGGACCTTCGATGAACCTGGCACATCTGACTTCTGAAATGACAAGGGGCCAGAGGCCTTTTTTTTATAAGTTTCTGGATGGCTTGAGTAAGCAGAAGAAGGTTTTTTTCGTGTTTCTTTTAATTTCAGAGACTTAATGAACCCCAATATGAATACCCGCAACAAGTGTTCGTTGCATAAACTGAGTTAAAGGATTTTTGTTTCTTTTTTTTTTCTCTATAGAGTGGGGAGATTAAGTATGAATTATACGACCAACTCGCCAATGTACAGGGCCAGTCTCGTCGCTCAAGCCGCTTTCGTGGAAGTCTTTATGCCATTAAGGCTTCAAGCATGAAGACGTCCGCTGGTTATCGTTAGAACAGGTCGAGGCAATATTTCATAGCTTTTTCCCCTTCAGCAGAGTGAACGCTGGAAAGGGGGCGACCTCCTCGCCAGCGTCCGATCTTCTAAAGTAGAAAGAGGTGGAACGAGCTTCACATGAACTCCTAACCTGTCACCGACAATAGGCATCTACGAGAACGTGCAGCTGTAGGTGTACCTTTATCGACCCCTTGCACGTTCAAGTGCGTCTTGCCAACTACCACATAGGCCTGACCTTCGTCATGATGAGTGTAGTTCTTTTCTTCGGACAGTAGACGTTTTGATAAAAAAGCAATAAGATCATCGTTGACTTCTTGGTGCCCCAACTACATGGCACGTTTTTGCATGCGTTTCGCCCGCGTAAGCGCCAGCATGCGTCACTCGAGGTCACTCCCAACAATGGGATTCGAGGCCCGACTCCAGTATCTGGTCGGGACCGGATATCGGCTCAGAGCGAGGCGCGGCAAAATGTCGCTGACGGTGGTGAAGCGCGTGAAAAACAGGCCTTAATAGTGCCCACGCCGTAGGAACAAGCGTCAGAGGTGAGGATTGTTTTCTTTTCTCATCACGGTGGGCCAGAAAAGATACAGGTCTCACAAGCCTGCTGATCTTGAGAAAAGCCTTTTCAAGTCCTCTCCTCCGGTTCGCATTGCTTTTTTGGTCAAACATTTACGCTACGGGTGAAGTTATGAATCGAAAATACCAAGGTGCTTTCTGTAGAAATTAATGGGCTCTACATCAAAATCATATGCGCAACGTGAATGAACTCGGAAATATCTTTATATTCTTTTTCTCCATTATCTTCTTAGATGGAGGTCACCTTTTCAAGGGTTTTGGCAGCCCTTTTTTACTAATCAAGTGCACCAGGTACATTTCTTGTGGAGTAAACAGCTTGCACTTTACAAGCTTAAGTTTGAGCACTGCCTTCAAATTCTTCGAGCACTTCATTTCAGCTGCTCTAATGAGTTTTGTCATTACTCCAGTCATTGGAATATCCTTGAAGTGAACAACTACGATAGTCTTCAACGAAGTTTTCCCATTCGGTTTCCTCAAGCTTCATGTTAAATCTCGCCTCCAAAGCATCTCTACCACTACTTGCAGCATCGATGGTCTTTGTCATCGACTAAGGTGATAAATCGTGGAAGTGCGCAAATACGCTACATATATCCTAAAACTTTCTTTTAGCCGTTGGGGGATGACAGATTTTTAAGGGGCTACAAACAGAAGACATGCACTAGAATGAGAGCATGTTTTCGTTTATTTTGAAATAATTCCAGAAATGATTGCCAAGATAAAAGATGTCCCATAACTACAGCTTTGATAATCTCCTTCCTCCTCGTGCACCCTACTTCAATTTTGGATACTACTGGAGCAGGTTACAGGAATGTTGGTAACCTCGAAGTTTGCAGAGACGTGTTTTGGGCGTTCTTAAAGACCGCTTTTGTCTCAGCTGCAAAGTCTGGTGTCCAGCGTGTTCCCGAGATGGAGTCTTCATACATCGTTAGATATCATTGCCTCCTAAGCGTTCGATATGCGGCATGGCTTAGATAATTTAAGATGGAGAATCTAAGAGAAACGACAATACCAATTAACTTATTATCGACATCGTCCATCTATTAACTGCGTGAATTCCTGTAACTATAATTAAGGTTTGGATGCAGCTACACCCCAAAAAAGTGAGTCGTTCGCGTAATGAACAACGGGAGCTCTGCTTACCGGTACTTGTAGTTGATGCTGGCACTGATGTTTCCCTTAACCCCGGTGACCTTCCATAAATGGTTCGATTATGCATACGCTCACAGGCTCAAATCTCTCCTCCGACGGGGTCTCTTAAAAAGAAGCGTTTTGTGATGCCACAGACGCCTGCCAAAATATAAAAGGAATTTAGAGCAATACTACAGCATGTACCTAACATTAACGCTTCGAACTCATCTTCGACGACCCGCGAAAATCGGTTTCTCTACGTACTGTGCTGCAATTTACTACAGAGGTGCGGCTAGGAGGTGGCAGCATGGAGTGAAAATATCAACAGATAAACTTACTTTATAAAAAAAAAAAAAGTTATAGGCTAACTGCCGCGGCATTCGCATGCCTCTTCACTTGTGTCTGCGCATGCGCATATACTTAAGATGGCGCGAACCTGGTTTCTGCGCACGCCTAGTGCCCAGACGAGGTGTGGACAAACGCGGGTTTGCTGGTAAATAATGTGTCGGTGTGTACGGGCAACACCCTAGCAAGGCCGTCGTGCTGGATTTTATACGTCACGTCCTGGAGGCCCCGGCTAGGACTCGAGACCTCAGTTATCTAACACGAGCCCTTCCCGAATGCCGACGCAGCACTCGCACTCGGTCTGTACCAGCGCCTCCCTGATTACGAAGCCGTGTTGCTCAACATTCGACGTCACCTAAACAAGCTCAGTCCAGGACCGGACACGAGTGCTGCGTCAGTGTTCGGCCTGGGCTCGTGTCTTTTCTAATTGAGCATGAGTGTCAGCCGAACGCTAAAGCAGCACCCGTGCCCAACGTTTGCCTTCTGTTGGCCTTCTTTAGGTGACTTAGAAAATTCGGCACCGCGGCTTAGCTCCTACGTATAGGAAGTGTTGTGCTTATGGGGAATTCCTTTGGTGAGTTTGGAACGGTTTAGGGTCGCTTCTTTGTTGTTGTTGTATCTTCTTGAGCGTGCAAGAGGCATCTACCGTACTAAAAGTGCGAGCATGAGCGTAGGGCGCATTTGGATCGCTCCACACCCACCAAAAGGATTCCACACGTGCTCCGCGATGGCCTCCGGCTGGTGGCGTAGAGAATTCAACAGGGCGGCTTTCTTATCTCGGAGGTGTTAATGATACAGGCGTAAAATCGGGATGCGGATTTTGTTCCAGCGTGCCAGACTGCGTCGGGCAAGCCCGGCCGCTGCGTGTCTTCGAGTGACTGTCCCCGAGGTCCTCACACTCCCTGCCGGACACAGGGCTTCGTGGGTGACTCGGTCTGTTGCCCCTCGGAATCGAGGCACAAGCGAGCGGCTTCGGATTTCCCGCACGACCCAGTGCTGGCCGTTCTTCGCGAGAACAGGCAGCGTAAGAGGTCTCTTCACGTCGAGTAGCCTCAGTGCCTGGCTAAATAGCGAATCCAGGTGGTGTATCTGAAGCGATCCAACGGCGTGAGAGGCCTAAGTGCGAGCTCGAGCATACAAGGGCATGTGAACTTCAAAAGAACAGCTACGCCTTCTCTCTAGCTGCTGCCAAAGGAGATCTAACATCGGGAATCGTTTGCACCTCTGCCGACCTCCGCGGAGCCAACACCACCCAATATAACCAAAGCCAGTGACCCAAAATGTTTACGTCAACACAGTGGGATCGAGCTAGTGTTGGCGGTAACGCGTTACAAGTAACGGCGTTACTGGTAACGCGTTACTTTTTTCGGTAACGTTTTAACGTATTCGTTACTTTTTCAAAACAGTGACAGGTAAAGTACTAACGTCACTTATTTCATGTAACGGGTAACGTAGTTACGTTACTTGTCACTTCTTCCCAAGACTTAAGAAAATCACACTTCCATTTTTTTTTCGTCCTTTTAAGCGTCAAGCTATGTGATTTATTTCTTTTTTTCGTTTTTATGTGCGTTTTTTCCAGTGAGTATGTAGGTGAAACCCTAAAAAAAATAAAGCAGTTTTGTTTAGTTTCTGCATGAACATAATGTTTCTTTAAACATGACGCTTATGCGTACTTGTACCGTAAATACCGTAAAACGGTTTAATTCACAATTAAAAAATTAACGCAAAGTTAACGTGCGTCACTTTTTACGGTAACGGTAAAGGTAACGCGTTCCTTTTGTTTTGAAGTAACATAGGTCAGTAACGCCTTCCTTTTATTTACAAGTAACGAGTAACGTACATCGTTCCCCTTTTTTCGGTAACGCCTGCAACACTGGATCAAGCGAAGACGCAGATCGGACGTCAGCTTTCGGCTGGGGTTTCGTGTATAAAAGCGTCGGGGAACACTCGGTATCGGGCTTGGGTCCAATTGCTGAGTTGGCGCCGTGCGACTGTCATGATGTTTCATGGAGCAAGAGCGGAATGTTCGCGGTGGTGGTCGAGCTCGATGGTTCTTCCGAAACTGAACTGCTGGTGCATAGTTATTCACAACACTCGGGTTTCTTTCTAAATTTAAAGGAAAGACTGAGTTATTTAGCGAGTAACCTTGAATTGGTGTACTTTACATTTATACACAAATTGAAGTTGTGCCGGTGATTGAAGTTATCGAATCACGCGACGGACGGACGCACACCACCCCGTGGTTTAGCGTAACGAGCATAGTTGATTCAGCCAATACCATAAAGAGGACAAGCCCGGCACCTACTGCCCCCCCCCCCCCCCCCCCCCCTTTCCATTTTAAAACGCCAACGCTAACGAATACATGCGACACTACCACTCGGAGGAGCCATGACGGTTCCTCGTCGAACCTCGGAGTGTTTGCTGCTTGGGGCGGGTCGGGGAGTCACTAACCATGACGCAATGCGCAGGCGTTGTCTTCTAGGTGGCATTGTCACGGCTCGGCATAATGAGCGGCTAAGGAGAGACTGTATGCTTCCGCCTTGTTACATGGCGTTCTCTTTGTGTTTTTGATGAAGTGCAGTGTGCGGCCGCAGCCCACCCACGAAACGGGACTCCGGGTCGCCGGACTTCCCGGCGGAGTACGTTCTCGGAGGAAAGGGCGTGAATGACCAAAAAAGATACCCCTTTGTGGTGAGTGTCGGTTTCCTTCATATCGCATGTCCTTCGTGTGACGCGTCTCGGTTCCAGTTTCTGCGACATTTTCGTTTAGTGTTTTCTGCTTTGCTACTTTCGATGCTTACAGTCCATTAGGTGCCTAGAACGCGTCTCCAACTGGTTAGCGCGTCCGAAGGAGTGGTCTCTTTATTTCCACCTGATGACGTCATCAAAGTGTCATAATGTCGCTGGCAGCGATCCTGGTGGTGTCAGAGCAGCGGTGGTGGATGTAGAAGACGCCTGTTCTGCTGCAGATTTCTCTCCAGCTTGACGATTCACGGAAGCTTTGGCAGCCATGAGTTGGTACGCCGCGACGACAGTGACAGTCGCCTTCTCCCGTGCTACTTTTTTCAGAACTTCTACGTCCAACCGGTAAGATCGCGACATGCGACACCAGGACAGCTTGAATTTTGTAGAGGTTTTTGTTTTGTTAAATTTTGTTGAGGCGTTGCCTGTTCTTTTTTTGTCTTCCTTCGCGATTTCCTTTTCCTACCCAAGTCTCAGGTTTACCATCATGTTGAATGTTGTGACGTCATTTACTGCCGCTTCGTGACCAGTTCCAAGGCAAGGTCAGAAGTAGACACTAAACACCCCAGTCGGAAGTGCGTTTCAAGCACCGTACCATTAGTACTCGAACTCCAGCAAGTAAAACTTGCCGAATATTAGATTTCTTTTTTAGATTTAATATACCTTGAACATCTCTTGAGGCAGGGTTGGGCAGAAATACTCGAAAATGTATTTGGAAATACAAATACTGGGATACTTTAAAATAGTACCTAAAATACTGATACTGAAATATATCTGTAAATGTGTATCGCGATACGTATCGGAAATACATTTGAAATATAGGCAAAAAGTATTTGGAAATACAAATACAGGAATACATTTTAGGGAAGGCAGAAATACAAATACAGAAATACTGATACTGCAATACATTTTTCCAATTTATTTGAGACGAAATTAAATGAAGCTTGGAGTTGGAAGTGGAAATTTTTGATCTTGAAATTACTTTCCCGTAGGCTTGGCACTTTGCCTTGAAGGTAGTGATTTCGGACGGCGAGGAGTCTTCAATGGGCTCAGAAAAACGTTCCATTATAGGACTGACCGTGGTCCCTTCCCTGACATCCTGTCTGTCTGACGAGGGATGCGAAAAGACTTCGACCTCTAAATAAATTCTCTTTCATCCTAAATCCCATCAAAACGCCACCACGCCCTTGTCAAATAAGGACGCCCCTGTCAACATTTATCACATGACGTCACGGTGAAATGAACTGGTATTCTTTATCTGTAGGTATGGTCTTGAAGATGAAATTTAACGCGCTGCTGTATGAAAGTACAATATGTAATTTCGTTGTAGTTTACCTCGTTGAAGGTTGTGCAGGATTTTCGAGAATAGTGGACCACCTGAAGCATACTGGAACACATGTCTTATCTTCTGTTACGGTTGAAAAAACGATACGGTGGCATCCCTGTTGTGAAGGTGCTTCCTGCTGACCCTGCGCCACCGACGCATGGATTGCAGTCATCAAGTTTTGCCTTGCATACTCCAAATAAGACGTCGTGGATTGCGACCTGATATTGCCGGCAGAGGTGCGAGCTCTCCGAGAAACAGCGTGCTCGAGACGAGTCGCAGGTGTACAAAGTATGGGTCGGCACAGCGAGGCCACGTCTGACCTCCTTTCTGGGTTTCGGATCACCACAGCAGCGGGCCACTTTAACGTCGGCTGATGACGTACCCTTGAGCCGTGCAATATTACGGGCGCAGCCGCGGACGCATTCAAATATCTGTTGAACTTCACTGCGCGAGATATCCTACAATTTTAAGTCAGCCACCACCAGGCTCGTGCTGCAACGAACTGTTAATCAACTTTGCCGCATGGGTGTACTGAGTACGTTAAGACAAAAGAGACGGTAAGCAGCGGGCTTTGAATGCCCGCAAACAATGACTAAAAAAAACCCTACCTAAGGACCTGTGGCACAAGATGCTCGGACTCTACTCCTGGCACGCCACCTAGTTCGAGTCCCTGACTGCGCAACAGTTCTCAGAAGAGAGAAGAGGACGCATAGAAAAATAGTTTAGAAAATCGGAAGGAACCTTGGTCAGCATGGTAACAATGCCCCAGCATCTCCTTGGCCCTGGTGCCCTCAAAAAATAAGAAAAAAGGCGTTCGGGTTTTTTTATTTTATTTTTTTGGGGGGAGGGGGGGGGGGGGGGTTGAGTATTTCTCAAAAAATGTAACGAAATACATTTCACCCTGATTGTATCGCGATACAAAGGAACATTCAAAATGTATTTCGATACAGAAATACAGATACTGGCGAAAAAAATGTATTGCGATACAGAAATAGATACGAAATGTATTCCTGAAATACTATCACGATACATTTGTATTGCGATACTGCCCAACCCTGTCTTGAGGTATATAAAAAAAGAACTCATATTAGTTGTTTTCAGGATTGTTAAAAGGCACATTTGAAGCGGTATTGCTGTTCATGCTTTATGAATGTGTAACGTTACTTCTGAGCCAAAGTGAAGTAATCGTTTCATGGTTTCTTTAACGTAGAACAGCGTAGAATTGTGACAATAGACCATTTTCAAAAGTCAGAGTCATTGTGTGGCTCCAAAAGCTCCAATGTTGCCGTTCTAATGGCGGTGATAGAAGATCATGCTCGGCTAAATCAAGCACCCCCAGTTTCGTGAATCCAAGGTGACGTAAAAGGACCAACATCTTTTCCCCTTTCTGCTCTATGCTTTCGAAGACGTTCGCTTTTTCTTGTGTGGTGCCGCCATTAGAGTGTCGGGTTTGGCTCTGCACAGGGTGGGTAGACTGACTTTCGGAAAGGGTCTATTCACGGAGAAATAACTGTCAACGACATCGACTGATGCGGTTCAATCATCCGGTTTATGGTTCCTCTTAGTAACACTGCTGCAATATATTATGAGGCATCAGGGTACCTGTCTTTTGAAGGGTTTAACAGCAACGTGTCTTTTGTTACGAAACGCCCATTGTCGGCCAAGAGAAGTCAACGCCGGATTTGTTGTATTCAATTAGCATGGAAGGTAAGACTGTTGGAGGTTAGTCGGGTCCGTATCGTTTCCTCGAAGCGACTTTCCACGAAACGTGTTTTGTAGACATATTTCTACGTTATGTAGAAACAGATTTCGTGAACAACTCTTCATGGACACCCGTTTCGTCCACGCTGCGTTTCGTGAACAAATTCTCCTGCAAAGTTTCGTCGACAACCTATTATTTTTTACTGCTTTCTGGAATCTGCTGAAGGTAGCGCGTGATTCAACAAGGCGTGTTTACCCAACCTCTCCCCCCCCCCCCCCTTCCCCGTAAACCAGGTGAGACGCGACGAGTTTGTAGCGAAAACAGCAGGGTTCTGTTCGACGAAACGCTGCAAAGTGTTTAGGTGAAACGAACGCGGGAAGCCTTTTGATCAGATGAACTGTCGATGAAACGTCGCATTTCAACAAAACGATATGTCAATGAAACGTCGTTCGACGAACTGATTGCCACCGAGGCTATTCAAACTTAAAACGGCGTCTAGTGTTTCTGCTGTATAGAAACAACTCTTCAACATACATTACTCTCGGAAGTAATCACGCTAATGCCTCAGTGCAATGCCTCTTTTGTATCAGGACAAAAGCGGTAAGAACAGAACTTATAAACTTAAAGGGGCGATGCAACGATTTTTGTATTTTGCGCAAATACCGCTTAGAACGGATACCTGACGTTAATGACCTGTGAAATACCCGTTCGTCTTTCACGACACGCAATCAAAGTCGCAGAAAAAAATAAAGAAAAACGAGCAGAGTTCACCCCCTCAACTCGCAGCCAGAACAAGCGGTTCCGGCGCCAATGTTGATCATAGCCACGCGCTGGGGTTGGCAAGGCACATGACACGCGCTGAGTTCCAGACATTGTTATGGTTCGGCTGTTGTCGTCATTGCAGCGATTGGACACAGGACACTCCCCGAATGCTTCTCGAGCTATCGATTATCACGAGCCCAAATCGAGTGTCCACGCCATGCTCGGGTCCAATATATGATCCGCATTCAAATATCGTCACTGGGCGGTACTGCTACCGCCCAGCTACGTCATCAAGTTCTGCGAAGGAGAGATTGAATGAAAACACTCAGTTTTGTCCTCGAAATTACAGCACAACAAAGGAGTTTCTTGGCCAGTGGCGTTGCGTGCGAGTATCCTTGAGTCCCACTAGTGCCAGTAAGCTCATGTAAAGTGAAAAACATTCCAATTGAATATCGTTGCACCGCTCCTTTAATCATTTGCGGTGCGTAGAGCAGCGCAAATGCACAACCACTGTACAACCCCCTCCCCCCGAAAGCAGGATGACACTTGACCTAGATTGGACTAAAATTAAAGTCAAGAAAAAATGGGTTAGAACTTAGAGGTGGACGTGTTGAAAACACTGTCTGCCATCTCAATGACGTGGGGACGTCACCCCGTACCTACAGGCAGGCATTCGCATGAGGATATTACAGAAATGGCTGTGCACAAGAAGACTGGATTTAAGATTTTTTACGCTGATCGAGAACACGCCAGAATATCCCTACTCAAAGCAAACGCCGTGTCCCAATATCTTCTTACTGCGGCACGATTGACTATTTTACGTGCGTAGCTTCATAATATCTCATAAGAATCTTGGCTCGGTCGCAAAAATGCCTCTCCTGCCATCTACACCGCGTGCATCGATCGTAGCGTAACAAAGTTGCGTTGTCAAAGCTTTTTTTTTTTATTCAAGAGCGAACATGCGGTTTAGTTTGCACGACGGCAACAAAGGGCGTCTGCGCAGGTGGCCATTTTTCGGGACGAGGTGAGCGTGGAGAACTTCTGGTGCGGTGGAGCCTTGATCACCCGGCGCCTTGTGCTGTCGGCGGCACACTGCTTTCACAAGATGTACGTTGATCACGGTGCCGTGGCCAAAACTTTGCATGCAACATTTTTGGTGGGTGCTATCAACGCCCCCTGGGGTCCGATTTCGGTCAAGGTGAAGAACAAGAGCGTTCTCGGCCGCTGATTGAACGTGACTCCACAGCTCGAGCAGAATTACTTGGACTGGGGCCAGCTGAACTTAGAGGAGAGATGAAGCGCGAGCAGAATTAACCGTTGAGAGATTTTGGACCCGTCCGCGAGTTCAAAATCAGGCAAAAGTCGGTGAGAACGTCACACCAACTCTAAAAATAGAGTGAAAGGTCTCCGGGCCTCTGATGTGCTTGCCCTTAGTGCCCCTTCATCTACCGGTCGTTCTCAGTTCGTGTAGGGCAGCAGAAAAACTTGAAGTTTGAAAAAGAAGCGCGGGGTCTCGATGACTTTCAGCGAGTAATAGCAGACGACCACAATGGACCTTTTGTAGAAATACGCGGTGCGCATGCGCGGAGTATTTGATGCGCCTGGGTTCGAGAGTATCTAGTTCTAAACAATCCGCCATCTTGCTTTTCTCGCCTTTGCGCGCCTTGGAGACCATCGAGACTCAAGTTTTGATGTTGCGAACAAGGTGAACACGAGTCATCGAACTGACGACGCTCGTTCTAGATTACGACGTGCACCGCAATCATGCCGGTGAACTGTGTAGCCTTCGGCTGTCGGAACTATTATCGCCCGGGTTGTGGAACTAGCTTTTTTCGCTTCCCGTGTGCTAAGCTTCATCCCGTTAAGCGGGCAGCCTGGATTCGTGCCGTCAGGAGAGTTGACAAGTCCGACCCCTCGAAGAACTGGAAGCCGAGTCAGCTGTCCAGACTATATATTTTATTACAGGTAAGTTGACTTGTAATATTTGCAAGCGATAGAGCTTTGCGAAGTGCGGCGATGATCACAGCCGGCGTTAGACAAGGCACACCCGGACCATATGTTCCTACACTGTCGGTTTCAACGCTGGTCCTCCAGATCATCAACCCAAGGTGAGAACCTTTTGTTGGCAATCAGGTCAGCTGAACACGAAGAAACAAGGACACGAAGGAAAGAACTGGACAAAGACAACGCTGACTATCAACTGAATTTTACTTTGTCTTCTTCCCGGCCTAGGCCCTTTTTTTCTTTCTTTTTCTTCGTCTAACGGCAAAATAAACACTTATAAAAACCTTTTAGTCTAGTATTCAACGGGGTGTGGCAGACCGAAATCTTCTCCTTTTTCTTCGATGGCCAAGGCCTCCAGCACTTCACGCGCGGAGGAGTTCTTGTTCCTATGAAGGACGGTTATGCTGGTGAGCTCGGCATCGCATCCACAGGTCCGGCAAAGAGCTGACAGATGTCCTGCTGATGTGCTTCTCACCGAGGCTGCGTGGTCCCTTGCTCTATCATTTATACATCGGCAAGTTTGGCCGATGTATAAATGCGAGCAGCGAAAGAAAACTAAGAGCAGCACAAAGAAAACGAACCGGTAGCACACAAGAAGCCTAACGTGGACGTTGTTTTCTCTACAAATACTCTCCAACCCAGTGCGCCTCAGGTTCGTCCCATAGGTGGCAGCACATATTAGGCAAAAGCGCGCGGTGTATGAAGGCACTCTAGCCAAAAGGTCCATTTCAGCCCGCGTCCGATCTCACTTCGCCGCGGCCCTCGGTTCATAGCATGCGATTAGAGGCCCTGTATTGCGGATTGCCCAACTGCTCGATCGAGGTCACGGGGTTTATTATATCGCTTTTGCAATACGAGCTGCGAGGCAGCGGTGGTCGTCTGCGAGCGTCTTTCTACCTGCTTTCCTCCTTGCCGCGCGAAATCGCAGCGCATGCGCACTTGCGGCCATTCCCCGCCGGAGGCTTCCGCCATCAAATTGCAAACGCTCCCTATGGTCTGAGATGTACCCTCTCTACAATCTAGGCCCTTTACAGGCGATTAACCTTTTTTTTTCCGTACGTCAGCAGACGACGTTAGGCGCTTTTCTTGTTCAATTTCGTCTGCCACTGACCCTTTGTACCAGACGAACCGCGTTCTGCACTCGAGTGAGCAGACGAGTCGTCTGAATGCAAGCTTCGCTCGCTTTGCAAAAGGAAAAATTACATCTCACCCTCGCTCTCACGGTGACCAAAAACGGAACTTTGTAGACACCAAGGCTGCAGTGCTAGGTTTGCTAAGTCACATCGAAGAGGCCAGCGCGGGACACGGATTGGACACGAGTGCTGCATCAGCGTTCGGCTGCGACTCGTGTCCAATCAATGAGGACTGCACTCGAGTCAAATCTGTGCTACGCACTGGCCTCCGGTACGTGACATAGAAAATCCAGCACTGCGGCCTTTTTCTATCCAGGCAGCGTTATCGTTACCTACACAGCTTTCTGATGTGAGCCAGATGACAATTCTCTCGACATTTATTAGCTATTCGTGGTGCTTTGGCCAGAAGGCAAAAGGGATGGTGCCTATCTTATGGGAAACAGAAAATGTTCTTATATGCTTCGTCGAATGTAGGAGTCAGAACTTATAAAAGTATCTAAGTTGTATGTAACGGCCGGTACATATCAGTTTAGTCACGGTCCTATCTCTACTTGTCTGCTATGTAACATATTCATATAAGTTTGTTTTTTTATTTACTAGGATACTCCGGTACAGAGCGCAGAAGCTGGTAATTTTTACAGAAGATATTTTGGCTTAAATCTAGACAACAAAATAGTTACCTCCGTTGGGTGACCCGATTTTCTCAAGAATTTAATTAATTCCTGGACTAATAATCCTCCTAGAAAAAAAATGGTAGTGCCATTTCAGCTAACGTACTCTTCTCGTATTATTGTTGTTCGTTTTATGTGCCTTGTTGAAGGTGATGTCCGCGGTAGACAGGTAGAGCCGTACTTCGTTCACCCTAAGCTGACAGCGCAGAGGAAGCTATACGCGCCCGTTGGACCAGTGGTACGTCTGCATTCTGCCAGGCGATCACGCTATCGCCCATACACACGAGCATGGAGCGGGGTCAGGGGATGGAACGGAGGCGTTCGATTGGTCCGGCGAGCGCGTAGCTCCCGTCGCACTGTAGGCTATCTTCTGGCCCGTAGGAAGAATACGCAGTTCCTGGTCAGAATCGGCAGCTTGGACATCTCTCCCGGACGCGGGAAGCCGTCTTCTGGGATTCCCATGGAACGTAAGGTCGAAACCGTGCTCATGCACCCGAGTTACAACGGGCGGCAGCAGAACGCCGACCTGGCCCTGCTGGTGCTTGACTCGGAGGCCCAGCTGAAGGCTTCCCTCCGACCGGCGGCCTGTCTGCCTCTGGAAGGCGCTGAGCCAGACACCGACACCGGAGTCATACTCGGCTGGGGACATAACGCCTTTGGTGAGAAAATACGAAATTCCCCCCTCACAAAATAAATAAACGAATAAATAAGTGTATCCACACTTTGAGAACATTTCATGGTAATATGTCCCAAGGAGTATTAAATCTAACGGAGTGCTTTGACCGCTAGTACCTTCCTACCATCATCCTAGGACTCATTGAAAATGCGCCGCAGACATCCTATAGGCGCCCTGGGTCTAATTATTATGTCACAACATAGACAAGGAAATGCTATGGTAATGCATACCTAGAAGGAACATAGTTTAGCCAGGAGTAATATGACCGTAGATACCTTCCTTTCATCGTCCAATAATATTTAGATAATTGGCCTCAGGCATATTTTATGGAGGCTCTATGTCTAGTGACCGTGTAATAGCATTGATAAGAACATTCTCTGGTAATGCATTCCTTGAAGGAACATGGAGTCTTACGGAGTGCTATGACGCCGCTGATAACTCCCTATCATCGTCCTCCGAGCCAGAACATTGCCCGCAGACATCCTATGGAAACCATAGGTCTAGTGACCACGTAACAGCAATATGCTTTTGATGGCAATATGTCCCTTGAAAGAACGTTGAGTCTAACGAGGAGGGCTAGCTATGATCCGCTAATACTTTCCTATCACCGTCCCTGTAGTCATAAAAAATTGGTTCGAGGCATCATAGTGCCGCGTGCATTACCAGCACGAAACGAACGCTTTTCCGTGCATCTAAAAGCTTCGTGTTTATTCTTACCGCGAAAGGAGGCCAGGATGACCTTGCCTAGTCAGTCTAGCCCTTGTTCACTGATGAAAATTCCAGGTTGAATGTACGAGATGACGAGCGTAGTAGATGGGGAGCCGAGCGCGGTGATGCCGATTCATTCACTGATTCACTCTCACGATAACCAGATGTCACTCCGACGCACCGTCGCTCGCTGCTGCTATCTCGGCGTGTGTTTTTCCCTTTTTTTTTCCTGGCACGAGTTCGTCGATTAAACCTTAATGCTCAATTCATTATTCATCGTCTTGTCGCCTTCATCCGTGACAATATAGATGTCAGTGACCATGTAACAGCATCTAAGGGACAGCTTATATGCGAGAAAACTTAAGAGAACCAGAGGCCTGTAGCTGCTCTACCTCCAGATGAAGGCGAGTTGTAAGTATCCGAACACTGAGATGCAGCTAAAAAGGTAATGCAACGTCCACGGCTCAATTTTTATAAGTAGTTAGCCTGCTCTCCGAAATGATTCGTACTCGTATGTTTTCGCGGCCCTACGTGAGTGTGTTGTGACAGAGCTCCACACTGATTCCTCGATGCGCAGTCAATTAACCTTCGACTCGTAGCGATTCTAGTTAGATGAACATCACAATGCTTGCGCAACACGCCTTCCACGCCACCAAAAACTTATATATTGCTCATAGTAAATTGGGTCGTATCCGAACCATCCGGGCGCGTTTCCTAATAAAATTAGAAATTTTTGTAAGTTTTTTTTTTCCTGCAACGCTTCCCGCAATTTGTTACAAGATCCGGAACTCTTCAGACAAGGCTAGCGATGCGCATGTGCAGTAATGCATTTGCAATTGCATTACTGGCAAGCTATTTAGTTATGTTGTGAACTAGTTTTTATTGTCAACGCATTCTTAAAATATACATCACTTTCAGACAAGCTCCAACGAAATATATTTATACTTGAACCTCTTGAACTGTTTCTTTCAAGATGGCACCCAAAATGTGGAACTACGAAACGAACTATGTACACTACGCGACAACATTACCGCGAACACGATGTTGACGACTTTTTTAAATGTTGCTTCGAAATGGTGTTAGAAGCTACCAAATTTTACCGCTTATATTAGTGGCCCATATGAGCCCTTTCAAAGACACTAATATTATTGATGGCAGTATTTTGATCCTTTGAGAGAAACAGCGAAAACCAACAATCGCTTGTTCGCGCTAACATGTCGCGCTCTGTACAATAATGAAGTCTTAGAATAACATAGGCAAGGCACTTTGAGTAAGCAAAAATTAGCGTTGCCTTATGTTTTATATTGCGACGCTATTTTTAGGCTACCCAAAGCGTTTACGTACGTTATTTGAAACTTCCTTATAGTGAACGGGATATTTTGAAGAGTGAGGAATCAGACAAGTTGACGGGCATATGATTGCGCCTTAATTTTCTTGCGAGTTCAAGCACAGGAAAAATTCATAAACCACAAAATGCTATATATAGCCTTTGTTGAGGAAGTCGAGCAGGAAAATCGCATTATCAGAAAGGCGACACTCCAATTTTGATAGTTCGCGGCTGTCCCCTGGCCCGCAAGGCACCACCATTTGCAAGCTGCTGCATAGATATCCTTGTCAAGGTTGATTAACGTAGAAGTTTGGGCTGGTTGGTATGCAGACATAATTAAAAACAAAACAGCACAAATACGATAGACAAAGTAAAAGGTAACCGGCAGGACACAGCGCTGTATCCTGTCAGTTACCTTTTACTTTGTTCTCGTCTTTGCGTTGTTTTGTTCTTAATTATGTCTTGTCAAGGCTTCATCACGTTTGATCAGATCGATGAAGCTGTTAATGTTCGGGTGAGCCCTACCTGACACAGCTTTTATCTGACGGTGCCATGTTTCCAAGGTTGTTTCGGGAGAGGGAGAAGTCAGGTGAGCAAGGAGAACAGACATTGGACACTTGAACCTAACCAACTGTTAACGAACAATACAAACGAACCGACCCAATTGATATCGAGCGATGGCCGAAGCGGGAAGGTGTTTCGGTATAGGGCGAAATGGGAAAGTATGAAACGAGAAGGTCGTTTTGAGCCGGGTCGAAACGGGAAGGTACAAACGGGAAGGTTGAATTGGGAATGGGTCGAAACGGGAACCACCCCTACCCACCTGCCGCCTCGGTGGCTCCGAGACAAAGCTCGGCCTATTGATCCCCGGGTGACGGGTTCGAATCCCGGCCGAGGACCCCGCAATCTGACGGAGGCTAATAGCGGAGAAGGTGCCGTGTAACCAAGATTTCGATTGCACGTTAAGAGACCCCCAGGTGATCGAAAGTAATCACGAGTCCTCCGCTGCGGCGTGCCAGATGCCCTTTGTTTTTTCGGAACGTAAAACTCCCAAACTTTACTTTGATTTTACTCACCACACAAAAAAAAAATTAAAAAAAAGGTCGTTGGGGCAGGTGGTAAACTGCAGAGGCTGCTCCAGGAGGCGGACGTACCGCTGGTGGACAACAAGGCATGCGACGACAGGTACCGGTCCTTGAGCGGCTACAAGACCGTGTTCCGGAGCGGCGTGGACCAGGACTTCCTGTGCGCCGGAAACCTCACTCAGGGGGGCGTGGATGCCTGTCAGGTAGGCTTCATCACCGCGCCACTCGCCACATTGTGTGTCTTCTTTCCCGGACTCGGCGTTTGGGAGATTCGCTGCAAAATACTTTATCGGTATACTGCTCTCGTCGTAACCAGACGGCGAAGGCTGCGATCACCTAGCGAAGCGCCGAAAAAAATACACAAGACCAAGAAAGTAAACGACACATGGCGCACTCACAGCAAACTTTTATTGAAAAACCAATCACTGCTTATATAAATCAGTCTTATCGTAACTTGGCCAAGGGCGAAACCTACGGCCCCCCTGAGCCAATTGGCGCCACGGAAAAAAACACGCCACACCCCTGCAATTTAACTAAGCGGTACAAATTACACCAAAAATGTAACCAACTTATAGGACTATTCCAGTACGGCTTCTTTGTCTGCCGGGCTGTGGAACGCATTTCCAGCGACGCTTTTGTTCGCGCACGTCGCTAATAGCTCACCTTCAAGCAGGGATCGCACTGCTGATACACCATGAAAAAGGCCGTCTGCAGACACCGTCTGAGGCATGGAGGTAAGAAGCTTCAACAGACGACATGAGGTCATCAGAGGTGAAGCGAGAAGTGAGGAGGGACACTCCCCCAACGATGACCAAAACCAAGAGACGCTATTGGACGAAAAGGCGAGAGCTGTCATCGTAGGGCCGTGTTCCTCCTGAAGTTAGGGCCTGTTCCTCCCTCATGTCGCCTCCTGAAGCTTCCCACATCCATGGTCTGATGTGTGCTTCGTCCTTGTATGGCAGTCCCATTGGTCATGCGGAAATCGTCTGCAAGCATCTTGAAAGCATATATATGTACGAAGCAAACATGCGTGAGGCTTGTTCACAGATAAATCTGTCGTCATGTCCGCAGAGGATACCGTGTCTTTTGTGGGACGTATGAGCGGTGTGACTTGAAAGCTCTGTCTCGTACGCGCAGCACGACTCCGGGGGTCCGCTGGCCGTGCGGGCATCTCGGGACGGCAAGTCCGTCTGGGAGCTGGCGGGCGTGGTGTCCTTCGGAGTGCAGTGCGGCACTCCCAGCTACCCGGGGGTGTACTCCAGAGTGGCCAGCTTCGTGCCGTGGATACTCCGCACCAGCGCCCACCTCACCAACGTGAACGACGTCGTCTGAGCGGGAGCACAGTCAGCAGCAGGCTGTTGCTGCACGCCGCGCACTCAGGGATTTACAGCTGTCTTCGAGGACGCAATAAACAGTTTACTGAATGTGTGCTTTTTAATGTGCGGGATAATGACTGCACAATTAGACTGGCCCTTCGGGGAATATTGTTGAGGGTGGAAAAGGGTCGACAACTGTGAAACTGAAAACAAAAGTTGAATCGGCCAGCTTGTGCGAGAAACAACAAAAAGAACGAGCTTCGAGTGAGTAGCATTGAGCGTCGAGGCATCGGCGCGACGGCTGGCTAGCGTGAGAGTGCGAGAGTAGGGAGTTTTAGTAGACCGTGTTACCCCCCTCCGCTAGCCCTCTACTACGAAGATACCGCCACTGCGCCTGCGCGCCGATGGCCTTGGCTGTAGAGTTCCGGGTAGCGAAGGGGCTTAGCGGAGGGGGAAACACGGTCTACTAAAACTCGCTAGTGACTCGGCAAGACCGCGTTGGGCTCCTTATCTATTACACCCGGGTAAGAAGAGCAAACACTAATCTTCTAGAACTACGGAGATGCGTTCCCTCTCGGCCATGAAAGCGGCAATATCACCTTGAAGACTAGGCGTGGTCTTGGCGCCTAAGCGTTCTAGCGTCGCGCCGAGGCGCTCCAAGATGCGGCGGCCGGCGGTGATGCTGACGCCAGCTAGGTGGCGCTCTGCGGATCCTAGCGTCAGAGCCGCCTAGCGTTGGCTAGGAGAGCACACCAATGGATAAACTTTGGAAGAAAGCCAGGTTATTCAGCTGATGACGGTGGCTGTTCTAAGTTTTCACCGACGGCGCTTTCCAACACTGATGGCTGGAAAAATTATGGAACAAAGCTAGATTCTTAACCGATGAAGGTGGGTGTTTTATGGTTCATTCGTACGACAGATCCTTACCTCCGGAGGAGTACGTCGTAGATCTGCGAGAAGGAGGGAGTGGTGCGGAAATCCGACCGAGCATTCGCACGACGGAGTCGCACGTAGTTGAGTCGGTGGAGTCTTTCTGTTCGTGAACGTGTTTGCAACCTCCGAGGACTTATCGAACAAGGGGCAGAAAAAGAGAAAATGAATTAAGAAAGGCACCCCACAGCTCGATGCTGCTAGCTCTGCATATAATCCTTCCCTAAAAGTACAGGGAGCGGTCACTAAGACGGGACGATGGATACTCCGAAGCTGGTCGCAGATTCTCCACGGCCTTGGGGGACTGGCGAACATCGTGACACGGCGGACGTGACCTCAAAACTCGATTATGTTCAATCGACTACTCGGAGCAAAACTCGGCCGTGCGACTACACCATTTGGATAAGCAATGATAATTTAGCGCGCTGATAGCCTGAAAGCTTTTTTTTTTTTTTTTGGGGGGGGGGGGGGGGGGGGGGGGGAGGGGAGAAACTAATTTATTTGATTAAAAAACAAACAAAAAAACAGCGAATCAGCATGCCGATGGGTACGCGGAGAGTCGAGATCGCGAACTGACTCGACAAGGAGTTATTTCTGTTGAAGGCTTTCTATACTTCGTTTCAGCCTCCGTCCGAGCGCAGCCAAAGCTACGTGCGGCCGGAGCCAATCACATGCCGGCAATAGGTCACGCGATCTCGCCTGCACTTTTGTATCACTCCGCTGCGCCGCCGGTCGGCCGCGCCGCCCGCGCTCGCCGAGTATTTCGTCTGCTACAGGTGTATCAACGATATCGTCTGCTACAGGACTAAAAAGTGCCTTTTCACGCTCTGAAACTTAGTCACAGGGGATGTCAGTACGTAGGCTGGCCGCTGGCATCTGTGTCCGAGCTTTCCACCTGTTCGGCGTAGTTTCGAGTTGTAAGTACACGTTGCAAGATTCCCGATGACCCGGCCGTTGATGTTTCCTTGTAGGGTGATTTCAGATAAGATCGACCAAAGGGTGGCTGGTCGACATTTTTAAATCAACTGATGTTTTTATATGACATTGTCTAGTGTCTGGTATAAACGAATCCACACTTAGTTTTGACCAGAAAAAAAATTTGGAGACAAGAAAAATCGTAAGGCAGGGAGAGGTGGACAGTTGCAATAACGCGCACTGATGGAGGGGGCAAGTTTGAAAGTGAATAATTAAAACAATAAAATTAGGAGAATTTTAAAACTTTTTACAAACAAACTATGGGTACAACTTACTTGTAATATAAAGTAATAATATTTATTACAAATTTATTTAGTTTTCTAAAAATTGCCAAACATGCCTGCTCGAACGACAAATGGCAAACTTTGGAAATCTGTATCTCAATTTAATCATTATTACCTAACTTGCAGACATTATTTTACTAATATATGGCTATTATTGAAAAAATAAATAAGGTATCTGAGTGACACAATAGTTACAATATATTTAGGCAAACATGGGAAAAAAATCAAACAAAGAAAAATTCCAATGCGAATAAAAAAAAAACACCACCTTCGATTTTTTTTTTAAATTTGGGTACCCTGTTATACTCTATTTCGGCATTCATTTCTATTAAAAACATGTTGCATCATTGCACTGTGAAAGAAGAAACAACTCCCCAAAGTAGGGTCCTTTTTCAAAGCCTACACTTAGCAGTGTCCTATACAAGAAGTGACTCTGAGTTCCAGTTTCATGAAACTTGCACAAATCTTTTATATACATTTATTCAGATGAGGTCATTGATAAAAAGAGCGATCGGTCACACAGTAAAAGGGAGGAGAAACTATATACAGCATTTTACATAAGCGTACAAAGTGGTATCATATTAGAGACTAATGATTTGAGAAAAGATGATGCAGTGTGAAGTTGTACCTTCCGGTATATTTTACATCTAGAGTAAAATAAATAACTTTACTTCCACACACAAAAACAAAGATATAATAGTAAGATATTTAGGTTGGCTGTGTATTTACGATTACAAACAATTTCAGGTGACGGATGCCATAGTGCCTAACTGGAGCAGCTTCGATGCTCTCGGTGTATGAATGAATCGTGGCAAGCCGATATATTTGATCCTGCTCGAGGATAACATTTTGGGATTTTTTATATAGTGATCAGATAAAAATTATTAGTAACCACCAACAAAAACAGTAGGTTAAATACCCCGTGAAGAAAAATGTGATAAATAAGATGTCCCTGCATTCAAAATGAGCAGTCCTTGGGAAATCAAATTCGGCACTTTACGCTAAGGTTTTCCTCGCTGTACCCATTTAATAAAGTTGCTTCCAAGCAGATCCGACTGTTCGTGCTACATATACGTCACAGGTCCCTTCTGTTGATGACTTGCTGAGCCGCCACGCGTGCCAAGACTGAATGCCAGGGAAGGCGCGCACCGTCAGCCACTCTTCTTTTTTTTGTTCACGATACCGAACAACCTCATTTTCGTCCAGATATACAAGATGCACGCATTTCAGTTTCTTTGATAGAACGCTCACCATTGTCCTGGCCGTCTGAATTGCGCTTACTGAACGTTCTCTCAGGTTGTTCAGCGTGGCCTGGTGCTTCACGAGTCCGCCAACTCCGACACATGCATTTTTCCCATGTCCAGATGCAGAAAATAACCACTGGGCTTGTGGGCAATCGTCCTTTGCAAATTGGTGAAGCTGGTAGCGAATCTTGAAATGACTGGCGTCGCCGTCACTTACGTACGTCACGTACGAGTATACCGCAACGTTGTCTTCAACCCACTCCTTCACTTTTTCTAGAGCCAAGCAAGCGTGAGCGGCGTCGTGACACAGGTCCTCACTGATGATGGCAAAGCTGTTTGTAGATTTTCTTGTCGTCACTACACATGTAAATATCGAAACTTGTTTTTTTTTCCAGTGATATGCTTGCACTTCGTCAGGAAGCACGATGGTCCAGTTTTCAGCAAAGTCAAAATGAAAGACAATGCTCCCGCGTTGCATGCACTGTTTTTCATCGTAGATCGCTTTACCTTGCGTTTGCCGGATATGGTTGTGAAGTACCCAACTTCCAACCGTCACTTGGATGACCTTTAGGAAAGTCTCAGGTTCCAAAGTTTTTTTCACAAGGTCGCCGGACTCCCATGTTGCAAGCACAATCTCTTCATCCTCCGGGATATCAAGTTCCTGGAGTGTAAGAAACTGGCCTTTTGGGCAGTGATCACAGTCTCCTTGAAGGCACAGTTCTGTTGCTGGGTCGCACAGAAATGCCGAGTTCATTTCACCATTGTTGAATGTTGAGCCTGTAACGTTCTCTAGAGCGGCAATACAAAGATAATAATTGGCGCAGCGCACACAAACGCACACTTCCTGGTGTGGAATACATTGGACTCATCTAGGGCGCAACGAATAAAATTTCGTTAGCCCAACGCCGGAATCGGGATGCTTGTCTTTGTATATACGGAAGGTCTCTCGTATTGAGCGTGTCATGAAGCGCTTTGGCACGAACGTTTTCTCTCCGTTGAGCATGACAGAGATGACGTCCTTCTGGTTGGGACTTTGGCGCGAACATTGTAGCTCGTCTTTCGTGAAGTACTCTAGGGCAGCAGACAGGTTCTCAGGGCTCACCTTGCACCTCGTGTAAGGATCCGGCTCATACCACACGCCATGCTTTTCCTTGAGTTTTCGGGATTTACTGATGAGGTACATTGAGGCCTGTGGAATCATCTTTTGAACCTCATTCTTCGTCAGTGTTGACGGCAGGAGTGTAAGCAGTTGACAACGTTCCCGGAGAGAGGTGGCGGTTTCAAAGGCCTGCCGAAAGTTGTCCACCCACTCAGTGCATGTGGAGCATGTTGGTTCGGACGACCCCGATGGTGCGTCCTTGTCGTACGCAATACGTAGCCTTGGGCGTATATTCTTGACAGCAACCTGCTCCAGTTCTGTCTGCTTTCTCTTCACATAGGCAGGCCTGTCCCGACTTCTTACGACGCTTGGTTGTCTCAGCGGCGACACATCTGTAGGTAGTATGCTGCGATTTAGATCTTCAATTGCTTCTTCAGCTGGCACAAATATGTCAGGGCACTGCTCTGAGCTTCGCATCGAGATCTCCTTAGTGATGTGCATGAAGCAATGGTAGCACAGGTAGTCCGTCGCACTCACTTTGGTGGAACAGTCAGGCGGAAGAATTTGCTTCAACGAGTTTAGGTCCAACTCGCCAACACTTCGAAAATTCCGCTGCTTTGGTATAGTCTTTTTGTGTTTGCAAAAGTAATCTGCACAAAACACTCGTTCGGAGCTCCAGGACGTCTTCATAATGTATACATAAATAATAGAAATTAAACCCCAACTGATGGCATATAATTGCCAAGTGAAAGAACTACTGGGTGCACAAGTGACAAGTCCGAGGCTGAGGAGCTCACTCACTGCAAACGTACATTTGAAAAGAGAGGTCACAACTGAGGCTGTCGGCAAAGCTTGATCCACGTCAAAGGAAGAAAGAGGGAAAGTCTCCAGACAAAAAATTGTGGTCCGCGGCCTTGGAAAAAGACTTTCCGGAATCGCACTGTCGTCCCTCCACGCGCTGATATGAAAGCACCCGAGCTTCTACCACGTGGTTCATGACACAGCCTGAGCCATGTCGGCGACCGGTTCGCGAGGGGTTGGCGGTGGGGTTACGTTGATGGTCACTCGGATTAGCCCTTGCTGTACTGAGCTACCGCCTGCAGTGCCTTATCGCCGGCTGGTGTCAACAACGAGAACACACACACCCTGTCTACACCAAAACTACAAGCGTTCACCGCACACGCGTCGCCGCCGCTTTTAAGCTTTTGTGAAATTGCTTTCTTTTGCCGCGGAGAACCGCCTTATCTTAACTACGCGCCTGAAATCCTTCCAGGCGGGCGTACACAATATGAAGCGTTTCGAGAAATGCCCGCGGAGTAGAACTATGGGAAAATTCGGAGCCCGCGATGTCGATATCGTCGCCGTTGTGTTAGTACGCCGTCGCGTACTGCAGTCCCCCGTTGGGGGAGGGGGGGGGGGGGGGCGGTCTTACTACGATAACATGGCGACAGCGTTTACACTCTATGTATTTACGCGAGGCTCGAGTATTTGGGGATAATGCTGCCGGTTGGTGTGCCCCTTTGTGCCTGATATTATCGCCCGTGACGCCAGTGAGTGAGATGGCGACAGGCATGACTGCTCAGTAAACAGGCGTCGGCGGCCATGTTTTGCTGGTTGAAGCGAACCCCCTTGTCCTTGACAGCGAGCGGGGAAATGCGAAAAAAAGATTGTATCGGCCGTTTTGCCAGAACTAGCGACGAGTGTCGTCTGCGGTTTCCGGCAACTATTTTGCCATAATCGTGAGCTTAGCGAGGAAATGATTTTTGCTAGCCACAGAACACTACCACGCAGAAAGGGAATGCTTGAACATGTTTTTGTTCTGGATATATATCAGGGATATATATGAGAGAGAGAGAGAGAGAGAGAGAGAGATGAAGGTAGAGCGGAAGAGGGAATAGCATATAGTGTCGCAGGAGAATAAAGTAAACAAAGTTCCTAGTGGCCGATGGCTGCATGATCTTTTCTCGGATCACTAGTCCGTAATATGATACCTCTTTGTACACAGTAGTTTCTCCTTAATTTAAGTGTGTGAACGATTTCTTTAGTTATCATTGGCCTCATCTGAATAAAAATATATAAAAGACGTGTGTTGGTTTCATGAAATTGGAACTCAGAGTCAGTTCTTGTATAAAACACTGCTAAGTGTAGGCTTTGAAAAAGGACCCTACTTTGGGGAGTTGTATCTTCTTTCCCAATAAAATGATGCAACATGTTTTTAATGGAAATGAATGCCGAAATAGAGTATAACAGGTTACCTAAATTTAAAAAAAAATCGAGGGTGGTGTTTTTTTTTTATTCGCATCGGAATTTTTCTTTGTTTGATTTTTTTCCATGTTTGACTAAATATATCCTAACTATTGTATCACACAGATACCTTAGTTATTTTTTAAATATTAGCTATATATTAGTAGAATAATATCTGCAAATTATATCATAATGATTAAATTATTTCATGAGATACAGACCTCCAAAGTTTGCCATTTGTCGTTCGAGCAGGCATGTTTGTCAATTTTTAGAAAAATAAATAAATTTTAAATAAATATGATTACTTTATATTACAAGCAAGCTATACCCATAGTTTGCGCCTAAAACGTATTAGAGTCCTCCTAATGTTATCGCTTTAGTTATTCACTCTCAAACGGGCCCCCTCCATCAGTGCGCGTTAATGCAACTGTCCACCACCTCATGCCTTACGATTTTCCCTGTCCCCAAGTATTTTTTCTAGTCAAAACTAAGTTTGGATTCGTTCATACCAGACACTAGACAATAACATATAAAAACATCAGTTGATTTGAAAATGTCGACTAGCCATCCTTTGGTCGATCTTATCTGAAATCACCCTGTATTGTTTGGATATACCAGGGCTCGAGGCGCAGTCCTTTCCACCAGCTTCTCGGCGTTCAATGTGATCGGCAGGTAAAGGGGTTCCCTGATTTCGCCGCGTACCCGAATTGCAATGGCCCGGACGTTTTGCTTGTTTACAACGCGTCGTACCGACGCGGCCGGAGTCTCCTGCCGAATTTGAAAGTAGACATTCATCACGACTTCTCGCGCCTGACGCCCAAAGGTGCCTTTGCGAAAGGACGTTTTGAAGCGACTCGGTGAGGAAAGCAGCGAAGCACATGATTCGGCGATTACGGGAACGAAATCACACAGAAAAACCGAGCGCTGCAGCCGTATTGCCAGCGGATATACATGTTTTCACCAAACCACATGCATTTACGTATATTAATAGAAATATAAACTTCAAAGATTTGATTTCTTTAGTTGCAAATCATTCGCAGCAGTACACATGTGGAACATTGTGCAGTTTTTACGCACAAAGCAGTTATTTTAAAAGACATTACTTTTGTGAACTACTTTGTGGTGCGTAGGAATGCTCTTCTCGAAGTTGCGAACCGTCCCTCAGCCTTTGGCTGCGCTCGGACGGAAGCTGAAACGAAGTATAGTAGATGTGAAACAGAGGTATAAATGTTCTATATGCACCGTTGATATTTTCCAACAGTATTGGCTTAAAATATATGAGAAAAAATTATGTTTTAACTGATGACGGTAGGCATTTTAGATATACACCGATGTGGTTTTCAAACACTGATTACCTCAATATTGGGGGAAAATGAAGTTAATTTCTCAGATGCGACATGTGAACAGTTTTTTTATTGGAATACACTCAGTAACAAAATAGGAAACCAGGTTCAATATGTGATCGTATTCCCACATACTTTTGCAACATAGTTTGCAGCTTATGTTCTTAAGGTTCTTTTTATTTACGTATTCACAATCACAAAGAAAGAACAGTAAATATATTATCATCTTCGTCGACACATGCGATCATTTTCTCAGATACGTCTGCATTATGTTCTTAAAGACATGCATAATATTTTTCTTACACGGCTATGCCTGAACCTTTCATATGTCGTCGCAACTACGTCTGAAAAGTGGCATTCACGGGCTGCGATAGTCGAGTCCGTTGTTACCGAGCGTGGGCTGAAAGCCAGCATACGGGACTACCTTGCTCAAAATGAAACTTAATTATTTATCAAATATATTTGACAACCTGAAAGTGAGCTCTGCCAAAGCTAGCATAACCAGTGAATAGCACATTGGCTGTAATAAAACCGACTGATTTCATTTCGTGCAAGTCAGACCAGATGGCTTCTGAAACGTGCAATCCACACCCTCAAGGCCTTCGCACTTGGCAGACAAAAAATGAAGGCTTGTTTTGAGGTTACGCTCTACACGACGCGCTCAAAAATGGCGTCCAGAGAGGTACCACCTGGAGCCACTAAATCAAGTAGAGTACCGATACTCAATTCTTACTGTATTACGGGCAAGCCACCATTTTGTTGCCAGAGCAGGCCAGGCGCAACTGGCTATAGTTGCGATTCGAAAACGCGGCTCCCTCAGCTTTAGATACATCGTCCGGAGTCCGATTTTGGTCAAGGAAACAGCGACAGCGTTCTAGGCTGCTGATTGAACGTGGCGCTGCAGCTTGCGAGTAGTCAACCAATAAGATATTTCTGATTAATTTGCAGGTTCACAATCAGGCAAACGTGAAGTGAGACCGTCTCACCAACACACGAAGAGCAAGAGAGGTCTCGCGGCCTTTGACGGGCTTGTCCTTAGTACTTTCTCATCTGCCGGTCAATGTAAGCTTCTTTACGGCACCGGAGCAACTTGAAGTTTGCAAAAGGAGCGCGGGTATTGTCAACGGCCTCTAATGTGAAACAGCAGACGATGCCCATTTCAGCCCGCGTCTGACCTCACTTCGCCGTGGCTTTCGATTCGTAGCACACGATATACCTTTTTCCCGATCTGTTAGCAGACGACGTACGGCGTTTTCTTGCTTTATTTCAGTGCGCGACTGTTGCTCCGTTGCAGACTAACCGCGTTCTTCGCTCGTTTTAGCGGACGACAAATGAATGTTATCTTCGCTCGCTTCGCGAGAGACCAAATTGGATCTCGCTCTCGCTCTTACAGTGACCAAAATCGGATCCCAGGAAACTCGGGCGGTATTCTTGTTCTCAGTCTGGGACTATTGCAACATTTCCAGAGGATGGAAAAGCGTTTCCGGCGATTTCCCATCAAGCTTCAGATAACGAGCATTGACTAAGTGACTAAGCTGTCGTTAATCTCAAGCGTGGCCCTTTTAGTGGCTATGCACTATAAGACTTTTATATTGTTGCTGCTGCTGGTCTTCCTATATAGGTTAGAACGACCGGGACAGCATACCGCGCGGTTGTTCAAGCCTGCCACACGATGTATACATTGACAACGTTGGTGTCCTGGCCACACACAGTGCTTTCTGGACATCTCCAGGATGTCCTAACGTTCCATGGACGGCCTGTAGACGTCCATCTGTACCGCCTGGGTCAGAAGGAGTTCGCCGAAAAAGTCCTTTAGTGACCCTGAATTTCGACGATGATGAGACGAGAAGTGAACGCGACGAGCACGCCCAGCACGACTGTCGTGATGGTACCGTAGCTGATTGCAAATCCAAATGTCTGCAAGAAAAAAAACAAAAAAAAACATTGCCAATGAATGTGCCGCCATCTTGGTGCTGCGAGCAAAGCGGGCGCAATCGGTGATCGTTATCATCTAAAACTGCGACATCCTGAGCCCAAAAACCTTTACCACAAGGGCGCAGCCATCTTGAATGTCGCCGGTGTTATCATCCAAAACTGCGACTTCCTGAGCCCGAAAACCTTTACCACAAGGGCGCAGCCATCTTGAATGTCGCGGCTACTGGCACGCGTTAAAATATCGTTTTCATCATTCCGCGCCACTGGAAAGTGTTCACGGAAAATGCGGGATTGTCAGACATTCTTGTTCGTCTCACCTACATTTTCTAGCATAATCCAGGTTGAAATGTTTCATTATTTTTTAGTTCCACATACCAGATGCGGAACTCACATGACTGAGAACGAAAGGAAACGTAAAACGGCTATAGACATACGGCGCCAGGAAACTCAGGCGGTATCGTTTTGCTCTGTCGCGGGATGTTTTATCATTCCTGGAGGAGGGAAGGTCGTTTTCTGAGATTTTAGATAAGGCTTCAGAGAACTGCATGGCAACAATGACTTCAGGCACTAGAGATGGCTCCAGTGTCTTTACTCTGTAGCGTTGCTTCCTCAGTGGCTTTTGTTGGTGTGTTCTGTCTCGAGCCGCCTTGCCCGCGTGTCGCTTCTTCTTTTTCTACCACCACAGTTTGCTCGTCCGCTACAGAAGCTCCCCCCCTAGCAAGAAGGTGAAGATTAGGACCTGCTTGCGAGTAGTGTCGGGTGCCATGTAACAGACGGTCGCCGTTTTCGAGGGGTTTCGTGGTATGTCGGGTGCAAAGGACTTGGGAGCTTAGAGTGTTCGCATGGAATGTAATGTGCGGGGCGGCCAGTGTTCCCATGAGGGTAGTAGTGTCGTTTGTTTGAGTGTGGAGAACAGTTCGGTGTAGTCAGGTGCATACACTGGCTTGTGTCTATGAATGCAGGTTTCAGCCTATCTACTGACACGGTTTCGTTGCGTCCATTGATGTCGAGGTGGAAATACTTGTCGTGACGGTCAATGACGCGGAAAGGACCATCGTACGGAGACTCTAATTGCTTTCGAACTGCGTCGTGACGAACAAATACATGGGTGGAAGTGGTGAGGTCGTCAGGAACGTACGATTGTTTAGGTCGTTGCACCCGCGGGGCTACCGGTTGAAGAGCACGCATGGCGGCTCGAAGTTTGGTCACATAGTCGGTAGGATCACCTTCCGGATATTTGTGGGTGCAGTTGAAAAATTCTCCTGGAAGGCGAAGCTGTCCTCCATAGACAAGTTCAGCCGGGGTGCAGTTGATGTCCGTTTTATGTGTCGCACGGAGCCCGAGAAGTGCCATGGGAAGTAGTGTGCTCCAGTGGACGCGATCCTCCTGAGCTTTCAGTGAAGTTTTAAGGGTTCGGTGAAAGCGTTCGACGATGCCGTTGCTGATGAGTGGTATGCAGTCGTTCGAATTCGTGTGGTTCCGAGAAGTTGCGAAAGTTCACGAAACAATGCGGATTCAAACTGTCTGCCTCTATCGGTAGTCACCGATGACGGTACCCCAAAGCGGGCTATCCAACCAGCCACAAAAGTCTTCGCTATCGTTCGAGCAGTGATGTCTGGCATGGGTATCGCTTCCGGCCAGCGGGTAAATCTGTCAATACATGTTAATATGTATTTGTGACCGTCAGATGGTGGAAGTGGGCCTACGATGTCCAAATGAGCGAAATCGAAACGAGCAGTCGGCAATGGAAAGGTCACAGCGGGCGCCGATGTGTGCCGATGGATTTTGGCCCTTTGACAGCTAAGGCAAGTTCGTGCCCAGTTTCGGACGTCCTTATTGATCCCTGGCCACACAAACCGCTGCGTTAGGAGGCGTTGTGTCGCTCGAATTCCCGGGTGTGCCAGTGAATGGAGGGACTCGAAAGCTTGACGTCGAAACGCCTTGGGTACGAAGGGCCGCGGTACAGGTGTTGAGCAGTCGCAAATAATAGGCGTGTCACACAGTGGAAGGGAAGTAGATTTAAATTCTAGGCGTGGATGTGAGGCTTGTAGCTCTCGAAGTTCCCTGTCGTCTTTCTGAGCGATCGCCATAGCTTGAAAATCGATAGCTGTTGGTATGATCGAGGAGCAAGAAGATGTCGTGATGCGTGACAGCGCGTCAGCAGGAGCATTGTGGGTATCTTTTACATGGCGAATGTCCGTCGTGAACTCGGAGATATACGCCATCTGGCGTATCTCGCGGGGAGTGAATTTGTCACTGGCAGACTTGAGCGCAAAGGTGAGTGGCTTGTGGTCGGTAAGCACGTAGAAATCTCGACCGTCCAAGAAATGCCGGAAGTGTTTGATAGCTTGGTGGATTGCGAGAAGCTCGCGGCCAAACGACACTCTGTTGGCGTGAGTTTCCTTGAAAAGAAAGAGATTGGTTTCCATGCATTATGAAAATTTTGTTGCAGAACTGCGCCTATCGCGGCGTTTGATGCGTCTACCATGATGTTGATGGGTGCATTGTTCTGTGGATGGGTGAGAAGAGCCGCGTTGGCCAGATGATGTTTAATGCAAGAAAATGCATGGAAGGCTGTTTCGGACCACGTAAGTGGTGTGGAGTCACGCTTGGCACCTTTCAGAAAGTCCGTAAGAGACAGCAAGGTTGAGGCGCAATTGGGAATGAAGCGGCGATAGAAGTTAATCAATCCCAAGAACTCCCGAAGTTGCCGAACTGTTGAGGGGCGTGGAAAGTTTCGAACAACTTCTACTTTTTCAGGGAGCGGACGAACTCCGCGTTGATCCACTTGGTGACCGAGGAAAGTTAATTCCGTTACGCCAAACTCGCATTTAGCGTTGTTGACGATCAAGCCGTATTCCTCTAGGCGTTCAAAGAGAAGCCTAAGATATTCGAGGTGTTGCTCTTCACTGGAGCTAGAAACGAGCAGGTTGTCAACGTAGGCGTAACAGAAAGCAAGTCCTTGGGTGACATGGTTGACAAATCGTTGGAATGTCTGCGCTGCGTTCCGGAGGCCGAACGGCATGCGCAGATATTCATACGAACCAAACGGCGTAATAATTGCAGTCTTTGGGATGTCGGACGGTTCGACAGGTATTTGGTGGTAGGCTTTCACCAAGTCTATCTTTGAGAATATTGTTGCGCCATGCAGGGAGCTTGTAAAGTCCGCTATGTACGGTAACGGGTAACGGTCGGGGACTGTAGCGTTGTTGAGTGCCCGGTAGTCGCCGCAGGGTCTCCAGTCTCCAGGCTCTTTTTTCGGCACCATATGGAGTGGTGACGCCCAGGGACTTGAGGACGGGCGAATGATTCCCATCTCGAGCATGTGCTCGAACTCCTGGCGGGCTACTTTCAGACGATCTGGTGCCAGTCGTCGTGCACGTGCATGGGTGGGTGGTCCAGTCGTCACAATGTGGTGGGTGATATCGTGTTTAACAGGACGTTGGAAATTGCTTGGGCGGGTTAAGCTTGGAAATTCTTGAAGTAGCTTCTGGTAGGGAGACTGAGGGGTCAAGCATCCCACACATTCAATGATGGGAGTGGTGCACGCGATTCCCTGCACTACCAGATTTGTTGTAGCATCTATTAGTCGTTTGCGCTGCATATCAACCATCAGGTTGTAATGGCGAAGAAAATCGGCGCCGAGAATTGGATACGAGACGTCCGCAACTAAAAAGATCCATCGGAGAACTCTTCGTAGCCCGATGTTAAGAGTCATGGTCTGTTCGCCGTAAGTGGCGATGGGCGTCTTATTTGCGGCTTGTAGTATGAAAGGCGTTTGCTTGGATCTTTTTGCGACACCAGAGCTGGGTAAGACGCTTACCTCTGCACCGGTGTCGACAAGGAAACGGAAACCAGAGTCACGATCAGTTACAGAGAACAAGCGGCTAGGGTGGTTACCGGCACCACTCGCCGCCTCTAGTGGTGGGTTGACGCATTTCCCGAGGCTGAGCAGGGGAAGACGCAGTTGCGGGCGTCTTCTCCGAAGGTTCGGTGGTACCAGCAAAGCCTAGTCTCCGGTGGTTTCGCCCGGGTTGCGTCCGGTGACCCGAGGCGAGGACGAGTTGAAAGGCGCCGCTTGTGTGGTGAAGTAGAGCGGGTTGCGATGGCTGATATCCGCACTGAGAGGTTTTGCATCTCCCGATGGAACTCCGCTCGTATGTCTTCGAGCGTGCAAGGTGTATCGCAAGGCGCCGCTTCCGAGAGGTGTGGCCGCTGATCTTGAAGAACGGCGACCTGTGTGGACGTTGGAGTCGAGACGTCCATGACAGCATCTGCCAGTTGGGCAAGTTCGGGTAAAACCAGCCCAGATGCAGAAGCGAGGATCATTCGTACATTGACGGGTAGCCGTTGAAGAAACAACTCTCGCAAGACAGCTGTGTCGAAGGTTGGCGCCTTCGCGCCCAGAAGTTGTTGAAGGCACCTAAGTAGTTGGGAAGGTTTTCTGTCTCACAACTCTTCCGACGATATAAGTTGCTGGAGTCGACGGTGTTCTGACTCTGAAGTCCTTTTCACAAGTTCTGCTTTCAGAACGTCGTAGGGAGAGACAGTAGGCGGGTCGAGGATGATGTCTCGTATTTCCATGGCGGTTTCGGGCGGTAATGCGGCCACGACGTGATGGAACTTTTGCGCTTGAGAAATAACCTTGCTGGTGACAAACTGGCTCTCTACTTGCGCGAACCATACTTGAGGATCAGAGGACCAGAATTTCCGAAGGCGTAGTTGATGAAGGGCAGCAAGGTCAGACGGTGGATGGTCTTCAGAGGTTGCCATAAGCTGGTCAGTCGGGCGTGATCCGGGTCACCACTTGAAGTAACCAAAGGTCTCTTCAATTTATTTACAGCGGAGACTATTTACAATAGGAAATATCTACATTCAATATACATCGCAGACCTGTCCCGTCGGTGTGTTCTGTCTCGAGCCGCCTTGCCCGCGTGTCGCTTCTTCTTTTTCTACCACCACAGTTTGCTCGTCCGCTACAAATAGATAAGTATGATTCGTGTAGAAACGCGAGTGGGGTGATCTAGATGCTAAAAGGAACCTCCAGACAAACCAATTTAGTTCGCAATTCACGACGGATATTTTAGGGGTTACATTTATAGCCGCAGACGGGAGAAATGCCGGTTCACACAGTCCCGTCTGCTTACGTTACGTTATCTTGCGGGAGCTTACGTATGCTTATGTCAAGAGTCGCCGAAACACCCGTCCTTCGTGTGAAGCGCGACAACCAATTGAAGGAGTATAGCCTTGCACGTGACATTCAAGGATGGGGGGAGGAGAAGGAGGGGGGAAAGGAGGGTATAGAGGCCCCTCCCCTCCTCCTCCCCCTCCTCCATAACCCCTCCCCCTCCCCTCCTCCTTCTCCATACGTTCCCCCCTCCTCCTGCATACCCTCCCATCACGGTATATCAGAAAATTAAAATACCCCAAGAGCTGCGCCCTAAGTCCACATTACAGAGATTTGTAAAGGTCTTTCACTTTTTTCGCCTACCCGATAGGAAATACTGGACGGAAACATAGACACATTATTTTCTTTTACAACGACATAAAAAAAAAACAACTCTACGACAGTAGGTAAAATCACGTGAAGAAATTTGCTTTTACCAGAAGTTGCAGCGGTACCTTCGTGATGTAGTTGATCATCTGAAGTCTGTCTTCGGTGGGACGGATGCACTGCAATCAAAAGAAAAACAAGAGGGCGTTCTAATTTTCAGCCTTGTCTGTTCGAGGCATGTAAATGCATCTAAATGCATTTATAAACTCTTTTCAAAAGTCTATCAAGCATCACCGCCAGTCGACATATCTCAAACAACGCTCGCCGAGTGTTGACGTAGCATTCGTGTCCAATATACATAGACCCGAATCCGCGCCAAATGCTGACGCAGCACTTATTGTACAATGAATGCTCCAAGTGGATGCCCAAATTGTGGAGGTCTATGAGCAGCGCCTGGAAGGCGGCACTTCTTTAAAATAGTCTATTGAGCGAGGAAAGCGCACGTCTCGGGTCCCCACGCAGGCAAAAAGAAAACAAAAAAGTACAGCAGAGTTTGCCTTAATTACACGCGACACCGAGGAATCGGTCGGGCTTCGGCAGCAAAGAGGTACTCCACTTCACCTTACGAGGTACCGCAATGGACATTACGAAGTACCGGAGCAAAACCATAGCCTGGTTGGAAGTAAAGTCGCTGGATGCTGGGAAAGTAGTGCCATTGCCTTCCCTACCTGCTAGCCGGACATAAACAGATACTAACATACAGACGACCAAAACCTCGCAAGGCGATTTGCTAATCCCTCTACGTTGCCATAGAAATCGCCATCTCGGTCCATTCAAACCTTCAAAGCTTCCAGAGGGTCGTTCTAAAACAGTCGCGCCAAGATTACCATGGAGCATCATCGTACTGGAAGCGTTCCTCACCAATATAAGCGTCCTTGGCACTGTATAAGCAATCAACTCATCAATCATGCACATCACGGATTTCTTTCAATTATGTTGCTCTTGCGCATTTTAAAACAGTAAACTTATTTTTCAGACATTCTACAACCCGAGACGGAGGTTTACAAGGACAGACAAACACAAACGTCTCAAACTCAGCAACTACATTTTTAATCACCACAACTTCTTTTTATATACAGCCATCCCACCCTCCCCTCCTCCCCGATTTCGCACACGCTTCGCCTCGTTATCTAAAGGTCAATTTGCTGTACCCAACTTCGGGGCGGTTCTCCCTTCTCCGACCGGACCCTTACGGACCTTCTCAGAGTTACAATGTCTTCACTTATTTTTCAGTGCCTCCAAGCACCGACACAGCGTGCGGTGGTGGTACGAAGACTTACACTGGTTTCGCCGGTGTGTGGATAGGAAAGTCTCGATGTACAAGAAACGTCTCCATGAAGCTACCCGTCATGAGCGAATTTAGATCGGCTCACCAAGAACGGAGGGGTCAAGGAGAAATTGCTTATTTCACGGATCAAAATGGCGACCATACGGGGAGCTTAGCGCTACTTTCCCAGGATCGAGTGACTTTAGTCGGAAGGAGCCGCAAAAGGTTTGAAGCACGTGGCACGCGCACAGCGCTGGACCGGCTAACATGGCTCGTAGCTTTCGTCACTGTACACCAGAAAGCCACAATCAGGCTGTTCAAAATATCATGTAAAAGACACGGCGTTGGCTACAGACATGGTGACAGCATATACTACGCATGTTCGAAGCGCATGTTCGAAGCATGTCTGCTTCGTACGTACGTATGCTTCCGTCAGTTCAAAGCATGACCATTGTGATCGTCATATAAGGAAGACCCCAGACAGTGTGTACAGTGTGTACAGACTGTCCTTTTGTACGATGCATTAGCAGTGTAATCGCAGAACTCGTCGCGGGAGCTCTGAGCAATACGCGGCACTGCGAGGAAACTGACGCGTGTTTGCGAACTTACGTTGCTGAGACCCTAGTCCACCCCTTAAGTAGTACCGGTTTTCTTACATGCGCTATCAGCATTGCTTTCTTTCTGTTATGCTTAGTAATGAGTTCGACGTAGTCTGCTAGTGGGCGACGGCAGCGACGGAGTTTATAGAATCGCAGCAATAGAGCGGTCAAGAAGTATTTGATGAAGGTTACTTTCTAAACCCGGGAAAGATGAGAACCGGTTGTACCGTTTCCTGGGCTCTTCGCTTAATCCTCCAGCACTGACTTGAAACTGGACTTCCTAAAAGCCCCAAAGTGGCGGTCGATGTTTCGCCAAAAAGCCCAACTTTTTCAGCCCTCTCCGAAAAAAAGTTAAATAGCTTTAAAAACAACAACATCGGCTGCCACTCTCGGTTCTCCAGAAGGTTTCTTTATCCAGTCCTTCCCAACAACTTCGACTATCTTTTCGCTTTGTGTGACCGTCCGTTGGGGTGTACCGTGAGACGTACCTTGAGCATTCGGATGCCTTCTACGTTGACCTCAGCAATGCAAGCGCAGACGATGAGAAGTACGGTGAGGGGGCAGACGAACTCGATCACCTGGCAGAAGGACGCCGGCTGGTGCAGCCACACGACGAGCATGGCCGAGCACCAAGCCACCACCAGGGCCAGCAGGCTGGCCACCCATCGCTGCAGAGCTATGCCCGACAGGCGCAGGCGGCACTGGCACGCAAAAGGGGAGGGGCGCGTATTCGGAAAAGTAGCACGTGAGCAAATCTGGGAGCCGGCCAAAGGTTATAGCGTGAATCAACGAAACCTGTTCACCTAAGCCTCGCTCCGCCTTTACCGTTTCCCCCTTTTCTCTCTTTCCTCCCGTAAACCAGGCGATGTGACGTCCAGAAAGCTTGCCCATCAGTGCCAAGATTTGCCTGTTGACTTACTTCACAAGCTATTCCATCAACGCGACGTCGGCTCAATCGCATAGTCGTCCCTATAGGAATACGAGCGCCAAACAGCTTCATTTGCCAGATGTCCAGACAAAACCTGTCTTCTTGTTTCCTTCTCTCAAGTCTCAACCATGGTTGCTCCAACATAAACACCAGAAACATACCAATCTAAAAACATTTGCCCTCATCAACTACGCAACGCAAAAACGTCGAGAAGTACCGCATCATTCGGTTACACCCACAATCGGAAGACATCCACAAAACACTCGGTTCGTAGCATACAACGATGATTGTTGACAGTCCACACATGCCTGTCTTCCTGAATCATTTGCGTTGCATCATCAAGCTTCCCGGCGGCTAGCAGCAACATAAATTCAAGAATGGCTTGTGGCACTTCTTCCTGTTGGGTTCATGGCTGACCGCGTTAGACCGTTCGGCCACCTCGTGGAAGGAGATGGCCAGCGTACGAGGCAGGCACGTAGCCAGGATTTTGTTTCGGGGAAGGGGGGGGGGGGGGGGGGGGGCGCCCATGACAAAATGCTGTATGACGGGGAGGGAGGAGAGGGGGCCCAACAAAATGGAAGATTTCGGGGGGGAGGGGGCCGGGCTCCATAGACCCTCCCCCCCCCCCCCCCCCCCCCCCCCCTCCTGGCTACGTGCCTGGTACGAGCACAGAAAGGGCAACCTGGATGACACGCACTCCTTGTCTCTGCCAGCAAGGTTCTCCAAGTGTAAGGTCCACGCACTGCTCAGTGTGCAGGGAGATAGAGCCCGTCCATCTCCTGTTAGATGTTAAACTCACGAGGTCAACGCCTCGTGAGTTTAACGTCCTGTCTTTATTTTGCACACTTAAGCTTTACCTACTCATGTCCCGCCTCCGTGTAATACTGCGGATCAGAGCAATCCTACCCTGGTGGTGGCGCGGCGGCGTAGGTAGGCAACCAAGACTCCTGTTCTGCCGTAGATTGCTCTGCAGCAAGCTGTTGACGGAGACACTAGCAGCCACGGGTTGGGATGCCGCGGCAGATGCGATGCCCCCCCCCCCCCCCCCCCCCCCGGCGTCTGCTTGCCTTCTTCGCCCTTACTTCTAGCACCAACCGCCAGGATGCATGGAGAGTAGTCGGACATGCGTCGCCGGAATCATAGCTCTAAGGTTAATATTGACACAACAGGTTTCTGTCTGCTTAAGAAAAGCAGCTGGAAAACAACATGACCGACAGTTTGTGGTAAACGATTTTAGCTATTCAGTTGATTGAAACACACGTGTCTTCTCTTCCTGTGCCCACGCGGAAGGTTCGGGAGGCGGGTGGAGTAAGTTGTGATTGTCCAACGCTTGAAGCACTTCGCGATTAAGGCATGGTCGCGCATACACCGCAGCATTACCTCAGTACAATTACGCAACGTTGGAAATAGAGCTGAGCTTGCAGGTTCAGCGCTGATTTCGCGCTGTATTAGTAATCGAGTGCTGAGACAGCGTAGCGTCGGTGAGTATACGTTCAAGTCAGCGCGATGTCAGTGTTGTTCTTTGTCGATTTAACGCTGCGATGTGCGTCAAACGCTCCCTTGGCACACGAAGAATACCGCTGAAATCAATCGATCCACCCTGTTCAGAAATCGCAAGTTCACGAAGTTTGGGCAGAGAACGCGCTTGCACAATATACGATTGCTGAGAAGCCTCTCGCTCGGAACCCTGGCATGGTCGGTCGTTTTCTTTCCAGGAGGAAAATGAGCCATAATTTTGAAAATTGTGGGGACACTCAAAACTTTAGGAGCAAGTTTCAGCTACAAATACTCACCGATATTTTCCAATATATGCGGAGTATTTCGGCAACGGAAAGAGTTCGGCAGACCTGGGACACTTCGGTGTTTGCAGAGTCGCTCATCTGGGAAGTCAAGGTATTCACTTGCTGCAAGAAAACAAGTAAAAAAGGAATTTCATTGTGCCGCCTGGCCTTGTTTATGTGTACCTTCACTCTTGAGTTTGTTTCTTTCATTTTCTTTTAACTAATGACTCAATATTAAAAAAAAAATTATGCTTAACATATTTTACCTATTCTCCGATGCCAAAGCTCGTGCGAGGTACTGCCATTTCTGCATTTTATCTTTTATCGTCAAGAACACGGTCTCACTAGATGATCCATGCATAATGTGTCGTTTACAATGCCTCTAGGATTGCCGCGGTGCGCAAAGCTTCCGCCGGCTTCTTCATTCCGGAACGTAATGAAAGATAATGGCTGGCGGTACAGCACCACTTTAGAAGCTCGTCGCTGCTTCGGTCCCAGACTCAAGAATATCAGTCGCCCTCCGGGAATTATGGTAAAAAAAGTAATCAGATTTCTGATGTGATGCTGGTGATAGAAAGAGTGTGCGCTTCAAACTCGGCCACGCACGTGGCAACATCCTGTTGGGGTTTCCTGCCCAGAATATACAGGCTGTTCCCCCAAAAAGTGTATAGTTTTTTTTTAGAGCGCAGCTCTTAGGGGCCCGTTCCCGGCTTGAGCGGCGTCGGCGTCGGCGTCGCCGTCGGAGTAACCAAGGTCACCCCAAGGTCACGTGACCCCCCTCCTTCAAGGTCACGTGACCCCCTCCCCCAGGTCACATGACCCCCTCCTTCAAGGTCACGTGACCCCCTCTCTCCGAAGTCACGTGACACCCCCTGGGGTCACGTGACCTCCCCGATGACGTCATTGTCAGTGATGACGTCACCGGCATCCGCATCGTCATCATCATCATCACTGATGACGTCACCGGCATCCTCATCGTCATCATCACTGATTACGTCACCGGCATTCGCATTGTCATCGTTATCATCACGGATTACGTCATCAGTGACGTCACTGATGACGTCATCAGAATCCGCATCGTCATCGTCACTGATGACGTCATCAGTGACGTCACTGATGGCATCATCGGCATCGTCACGTGGCCCCCAAGGTCACGTGACCCCCCCAGGTCACTTGACCCCCCCCCCCCCCCCCCCAGTACCCTTCCCTCCTCCTCCTCAAGAGCTGCGCTCTAATTCGGTGTTACAGGGAGTTGTAAACGGCTTTCACTTTTTTCATTGCAAAAAGAAACTATGCATCGCCGAACGCTCATTCTCGGCCCGAAGGTAACGCAAGAGGTCTGAACCAGATGCCAAAGTTTCAGCATTAACCGATATTTCATTCGAAAGTTCCAAAATATTTTCTGAAAATGTCAATGGGAAAACGTTCACCAACGGAGCTCTCGAATCCATAGAGCTCCATTGGCGACGTGAGCGATCGAAAGCGTCGCTGTGGTCGGCCCACCACGATTGGCCGAATGCTGACTATGACGTCAGCAAAAAATGTCTCATCGACGCAAATGAGAGGAATGTAAGAACTTCAATTTCAACGGTTTTGGCAGTGTTCTTTGAGAGCGCTATGATTTCAGGCTTCCCCCATGCCCATTACAAACACCACCGAACTTGTATTTCGCAAGGTAATGACGTCACGAAAGGTAACCAAACGAGGGCGCCACCGAAACACCTCGCCGCTAATGGCGCCAGAAACCGAAAACGGGAACAAAGGGGCCCCATTCTCCCATTGAAATTTAAAGAAAAAATAATTTACAACTTTTGAATAAAATATCAGTTCGTACTGAAACTTTGGGTATCTGGTTCGAACCTCTAGAGCTGCCTTTGGGCGGAGAATGAGCGTTCGGCGATGCCTAGTTTATTTTTACGGTGAAAAAAAAGCCCTGCAGCTTTTTTTAAGGAGCACCCTTTTTGGGAGCGCGCCACGAGAGCGCACGACATGAAAGCGCCGACGGCAGATCGCGCGACAGGAGAGCGCACGTCACGAGAGCGCTGAACAACAGCTGCAGAATGCCTTTCCCCATAGCAGAACGTTCATGAATCAATCGTATCCTCTTTTGTAGTAACTGGGTCGTTATAGATTGAATTAACTGTTACGCGACAGGGGGGCCAGCACTGCACAAGATGCGAGTGTAGCTTCATATTTCGTCATGAATCATAGTCATGAAAGAATGGATTGATTTCTAGCGCGCTCGATATTCAACGTTTTCTCGGCAACTGCCAGAATTGAACCTGATCATGACGTAACACCTGCACGTATGTCTAATCCCCCCCACCCCCCCCAAAAAAAAGAACAGGTTCATCGCCAAATTAATTATTTTTTTTAGTCGTATTCGTATGTTACCCGAATTTTTGTTTCTGGGAGACAAAAATCATGAGCCATTCCCCTCTGTGAAGGTGTATTACCAGCGAAGATGTTAAGCACACAACACAGACGTGACAGAATTTTAAACAAAGGCACGAACACATTTATTGTCTTGATCGGTAATCATTGTGACGGAAGGATAAGCACGCACATTTATTCGATGCGTTCTCCACCCTGCGACGTTCATCGTCTTGTCTGGTTTGCCGTATGCGCTTGGCGTTTTGTGCACGAAGTTCATCGGTGGTGTTCGCCGCCCGCTGCCGCCGCTCAGATTCCCGGTGCCGTTCCCGCTGTTGCTCTTCGTAGGCCCGTTGCTCTTCGGGAGTCCGGACTATACAGGGCCTCCCCATTACGACGAGAGAAGACAAGTGAAATACACTTATTGCTAAATTACCCAAGCATCAAAGAAAATGCAGGAAATGGAGTTCCATGTGGCGCACGTGCCGGCTTCTGCAGCAGTAGCTGTTCTAAAGCAAAAGCCTAAAACAAATGACATCTTGCACGCGCGTTCGTCAACGCTTTAGTTTGGATATTTATTTCGAATCTTTTATACGGGGAAGGCATGCGCGTGCGGCGGTGCGAGCGTAGATGTTTTGGTCACACACACGAAAAATCCACGGAACCCCAGCCATAAACAGTTTCGTTGTAAAATGACGACTAGAAGAGCACGTGGAGCGAAAGCTCGCCCTGCAGAACTCGGGATCCTGGGTTCAATCTTCACCCCTGCCCGTTTCGATCTGGATGAGCATCGTACCGGCGTGCGGTCGTGTATCACTACTCCGTGGTGCACGTTAAAGACACCAGGCTAGCGGTTGTACTGCACTGGCTAAATGCTCATCTACAGCTGGGAGAGTCGTCGCCCGTTGAGGCAGACCAAGTTATTCACCAATGTTTGTTTGCAAACAAGCTCGCTGCCGCCCACTATCGGCGGACCCCTGCGCGCTTCCGGTTTTCCTATTCTTTTCCTCTTGTCACACATCCTTTTGTTATTTGTACTACGTTCTACAAAGCGCGTAGGTTCTTACAAACCTATTACAGGTACCTCTCCGAAGGAAAATCTTATTTTCCGATCGCTGTGTGTTACTGAAGAAGAAATAAATACACTACCGGAAGTCTACTGGGGCACCAAATACTGTGGCGCCCCCGTGGTACCAACTCCCACAGAATGCGGTGAATAGGCTGCATAAACATACACACAACCCAATTTTTTTTTTTTTTTGACAAGTAGAACTTTCTCGAGATCAAAAAAAGTGACCAATTTCAAAAGGAGCTCATGAGTGGCAGCGATGACAGCTGTGCGGTAATGTATTGAGTTAGGATAGATAACCTAAACAAAATAAATTATCTTAAATACTGTGACTGCAGACCACTGCGTGTTTAAAGCGTTTGAAGACCCCAGTATCGAATATTCCCAAGGCGCGCACATGCGCTCTCGTGTCGCGGCCATCTCCTGTCGTGCGCTCGTGTGTCGCGGCGCTCTGCTGTCGTGTCGCTCTCCTGCCGCGCGATCTCCCGTCGGCGTTCTAGTGTCGTGCGCTCTTGTGTTACACAGCCCCCTGTATATGGGGTGAGTAGGTTAGGGTTAACGACATCGTCCAAAAGTCCATGAAAGCATGGACACTGTTCACTCTTGTTCGGTAAACCATCGCCCTGTCAAAAACTTAAACTGAGGACTCATTCCCGAACTGATTAGATCAATCGATACTAGGTTTACTCAAACAGGATGTTTGATTTTTACTCGAACAGATTTATTAAACGCAACCCGTCAAAAGTACACTACTTAGGTCTGTGCACGTGAGTTATGCGGCCAGGGGGGTAGAATATAAGGAGCTAATCGGCCAGAATAAGTCACTTATTTAACTAAGATGTGTTAATTTGCTTATCAATTAGTAAAGATAAACAGACTGTTATCGAAGACAGTGCACTTCGCCAGTAAATTTCAGAAAGAGTTGTAGCGCGTGGGAAGTGCGGTGGTGCACTAAATTTGTCACTCGTGCAACAGGCCCAAGGCTTGCAGTGTGCAAACGCGCCCACGCGGTTTTTCCGCGTCATCCTGCATTTGCACCGCCAGCCTCGCGCCTTTAGCACGAGCTGAAACTTTAGCGTTACCGCGTTTCCCACGCGCTCAAAGTCTTTTTTTAATATAATTTAGTGGTTACCCCACGTCGAAAAGAAGCAGTCAGCTATAGGCTTACAGAGTGACCAGCAGCCACGGGGCTGTGTAGAGGGCGATCTTCCCGCTGATAAGCCGAAAACCGAATTCCAATGTCTCTATCGTCCGGCATATTGTTTTCAATCCAGATGCTCTCTGAAACGAGAAGAAAGACGGAGCTCAAAGAGGAACGAGCGCGAATGCGACATGGTGAATACTTTACAAAACTGAAAGGGAGATGTGGAAGGAGAAGAACAGCACACACCATATCTCAGAACACAGCAGCAATATTCTGTTTCTTGCTTGTCTCAGGTTCAGTCATGTCAAAGACAAAGCGCGGGTTTGTATATAGCTGGTACGCCACGCTTTACTTCGACCTAACCGTGAAATAATATGTTAATTTCGTCTCTCTCGTGTTCAGCGAAAGAAAATGGCTCGTTCCTTGTCACCGCCATGGCATGAATGTTCTGCTACCGGAGACCAGCTCAAGGAACAAATTGGACACGAGCGCTGCGTCATCATTCGGCAGGGACTCGTGGTCAATCAGCTAGGATATGAACCCCGTTAATACGAATGCCCCCGCTAAATCGAAACAATTTTTGGAGGCGAACTGGATAAATTTATGTATTTTTGTCTCGTTATTAGGGATAACTGCCGTTACATACAGATTATTGGGGAGAGAAGGTGTCCATATGAACTAGGCGTGATTGTACAAGAAATGGGCCAGAGTCTATGCAATGCATACCCTGACAAATGTCCTCTGAAGTGATGACGGAGCCCGGGAAGCGTCTGGAGTACTGCCGCTCGTGGGCTACGGCATCGGATTCCAGTTCCTTGATGAACCTTCGAATGCCTTGAAAAACAAGGAATGTATAGATACTGTTGTATGTCTCACGACAATAATCAAAGGTATACAGTGTGCCACCATTCCCCGTGAAAAAAAAAATGGCTCGTGAGAAAACGCTTTATTCATATATCCTACAAAAAGAGCCGATATCTTTGGCAGATACCCCCGCCACAAGTTACGTAGCACGACACTATAACTTGGCATTTAAAAGCAACGGTCGTCTTTGTTGCTTTTAGAATTAAGCGGCAGATATTAAAACAACAAGCGGGGTAGAAGTTCTCATTCAGGGCACTAACTTAAAGCTCCGGCACCACGGAGGCCATCTTGATTTGGTTCGAAACTCTGGAGAAATCCTGATAGTCACTCATATGCCTCAAAATTGGCTCAACATATTTATAGACACATCTGAACTAGTAGCCCAAATTAGAAGTCACAATATTTTGTTTTCGCGAAGTTACTGAATATATAAGTTTGGCCTGAGAGCTTGAGGGGCTCTCCTTGCATCTCTGAAAGCGTGACTCAAGGGTTGTAATGCGGGGGTGGTACAGCTTTTCCCCGACGGGTTACAAGTTTGATGGTGTGAAATGAACGCTAGGAAAGGTCACGAAAGCAAGTACATAAATAAATATATAAAACGCGCAAAATACTGCGTCTTTAGATTTCTGCGTCAATCGCAAGGTCTACAACATATGACGTTACCCCACTGGAGAGCGCGGGAATATTTGAATGCTAGTTTTAGCGTAACTCTCCTTTCCCGTTTTCTCAATAGCTATTTTAAATTTAGAAATGACGAATAGCATGCCAGGAAGAGTAAATCCTGCGTATTCCAAAAATGTGTTTAGCTATGGGTAGCTCTGAAAACAGCTAATGATCCAATTAATTAATTAATTTAAATGTATTTATATATTTCAAGTTCCGCACAGCGTCCGTGGAGGCAATATAATGGGGAATGGGCAAACAAGTAAATGACGCCACAGAGCATCATCATCATAAAACAGATGACGCCAAAACACATCATAAATGCCGCTGCGGGAAGTTTCAACGTCTTGAAGCCCGAGTCTGAAGCTCACCCACCGATGGTGTGAGTCCTGGCCACCGACACGAGGACGAGGCAGACGAGTCCGTTCCAGAGGAGCGCCAAGGCGGAGAAGAGCAGACGGACGCCGAAGCGTGCCATGCAAAGCTCGTGGGAGCCTCCGTGGGGCTCGCATTCGGGCTGGGACGCTTCCAGCCAGGCGCTGTAAGCGTTCACGCCAACAAAGACCGCCCCCACCAGCACCGCCAGCGCTGCCACGTTGATTTTCAGCAGGGTCTTGGAGTGCATGCGGATGTCCTGCGCCGGAGCCGTGTGAATCCAAGACAAATTGACAGGCAGCAACGCCTCAAAAGCTGTACTCCGTTGCAGGTTAAGAAAAGTAGGAGAGGACCCTCACGTAAAGCCCTGCACTTTTTCTACTTTAGCAGAGCGAACGCTAGGGGACAAGGCGAGAGAGTAGGAGAGTTGGTGGCAGGTTAAGAACGCCTTGGAAACCCGACACCAGGGACAAAAGACAAAGACGACACACAGAACAGTTTCAAACTCAGCTGCAACTTTTATTTTCCCTTCCTCGTTTATTCGCAACTCCAGTCCGCCACTCGCCCTCTCGCGGAAGAGCGAACAACCAGAAAAACGGGGACGGCGGCGGAGACGGTGGTAGGGACTATCGGCCTTGGTATTGCTGTTACCGCATGGATCTGGTCGGCGTGTTCGTAAAGCATGCATTTTAACAAAAAAAAAAATAAAAAATGAAAGCCGCTTACAAGTCTCTTTGACACCGAATTAGAGTGCAGCTCTTGAGGAGGGGGATGGAAGGGTATTGAGGGGAGGGTATACCCCTCCTCCCTCCTCCTCGCCTCGTCATCCTGCCTGCTTCTCCGCCACGGGGGCCTCACGGGGGTCACGTGGCCCCAGTGAGGTCACGTGACCTCGAGGGGGGGTCACGTGACCTTAGGGAGGGTCAAGTGGCCTCGGGGGGTCACGTGACATGACCTCACGGTTACGCCGACGCCGACGCCGCTCAAGTCGGAAACGGGCACCTAAGAGCTGTGCCCTAAAACAAAAAAACGAGTGCGTTAATATAAACATTGGTGTGCATGCGGATGTCCTGCGCCGAAGGTTAATAGTTTCGAAGCGGTACGCTTCGAAACTATTAAAAATCACCATGCTTATTTTTGAACGCATATCAACGACTCCGTCACCTGTGATGCACTCCTGCTCTGACCATTTGTATTTGTAGCCAAATGAATAAATCTTACCCCACTGACCAGCGTCAGCGAGCAGGCGCACATGCATACATTTCACAGCGATAAAAAATTAGACAAGACACACAGCACCGGTGCGCCGACCGATTTGCATCTCCACCTTACCTGACTGCGCGTTGTGCCTGCTGCCGAGAACCGCGCAGTGCGCACGAGCGTCCTTTTAATGTGACGGCATTCTTTAGCTACTCCCCGGAATTTCTCTGACTTTATGGCCTCCTAATACGCAGTAGGTGTGCACAGTAGACCATTTTAACTCACATTCTCGCAATCCTTCACATTCATACAATCTTCGAAAGGCCTGACGACCTTGACGGCGTCCTCGACGTCCTCTAGCACGTCACCCTTGACGCCGTCCTTGAGGTTGTCCTAGACGTTGTCTTTGATGTCCCCTAGGACGTCGTCTTCGATGTCGTCTTATACGTCGTCCTTGAGGTTGTCCTAGACGTCGACCCCGACTTCCCCTTTGAGGTCGTCCTAGAGGTTGTCCTTGAGATCGCCCTAGAGGTCGTCCTAGACGTTGTCTTTGATGTCCCCTAGGACGTCGTCTTCGATGTCGTCTTAGACGTCGTCCTTGAGGTTGTCCTAGACGTCGACCCCGACTTCCCCTTTGAGGTCGTCCTAGAGGTTGTCCTTGAGATCGCCCTAGAGGTCGTCCTAGACGTTGTCTTTGACGTCCCCTAGGACGTCGTCTTCGATGTCGTCTTATACGTCGTCCTTGAGGTTGTCCTAGACGTCGACCCCGACTTCCCCTTTGAGGTCGTCCTAGAGGTTGTCCTTGAGATCGCCCTAGAGGTCGTCCTAGACGTTGTCTTTGATGTCCCCTAGGACGTCGTCTTCGATGTCGTCTTAGACGTCGTCCTAGAGGTTGTCCTAGACGTCGACCCCGACTTCCCCTTTGAGGTCGTCCTAGAGGTTGTCCTTGAGATCGCCCTAGAGGTCGTCCTAGATGTTGTCTTTGATGTCCCCTAGGACGTCGTCTTCGATGTCGTCTTAGACGTCGTCCTTGAGGTTGTCCTAGACGTCGACCCCGACTTCCCCTTTGAGGTCGTCCTAGAGGTTGTCCTTGAGATCGCCCTAGAGGTCGTCCTAGACGTTGTCTTTGATGTCCCCTAGGACGTCGTCTTCGATGTCGTCTTAGACGTCGTCCTTGAGGTTGTCCTAGACGTCGACCCAGACTTCCCCTTTGAGGTCGTCCTAGAGGTTGTCCTTGAGATCGCCCTAGAGGTCGTCCTAGACGTTGTCTTTGATGTCCCCTAGGACGTCGTCTTAGATGTCGTCCTTGAGGTTGTCCTAGACGTCGGCCCCGACTTCCCCTTTGAGGTCGTCCTAGAGGTTGTCCTCGAGATCGCCCTAGAGGTCGTCCTAGACGTTGTCTTTGATGTCCCCTAGGACGTCGTCTTCGATGTCGTCTTAGACGTCGTCCTTGAGGTTGTCCTAGACGTCGACCCCGACTTCCCCTTTGAGGTCGTCCTAGAGGTTGTCCTTGAGATCGCCCTAGAGGTCGTCCTAGACGTTGTCTTTGATGTCCCCTAGGACGTCGTCTTCGATGTCGTCTTATACGTCGTCCTTGAGGTTGTCCTAGACGTCGACCCCGACTTCCCCTTTGAGGTCGTCCTAGAGGTTGTCCTTGAGATCGCCCTAGAGGTCGTCCTAGACGTTGTCTTTGATGTCCCCTAGGACGTCGTCTTCGATGTCGTCTTAGACGTCGTCCTTGAGGTTGTCCTAGACGTCGACCCCGACTTCCCCTTTGAGGTCGTCCTAGAGGTTGTCCTTGAGATCGCCCTAGAGGTCGTCCTAGACGTTGTCTTTGATGTCCCCTAGGACGTCGTCTTCGATGTCGTCTTAGACGTCGTCCTTGAGGTTGTCCTAGACGTCGACCCCGACTTCCCCTTTGAGGTCGTCCTAGAGGTTGTCCTTGAGATCACCCTAGAGGTCGTCCTAGACGTTGTCTTTGATGTCCCCTAGGACGTCGTCTTCGATGTCGTCTTAGACGTCGTCCTTGAGGTTGTCCTAGACGTCGACCCCGACTTCCCCTTTGAGGTCGTCCTAGAGGTTGTCCTTGAGATCGCCCTAGAGGTCGTCCTAGACGTCTTTGATGTCCCCTAGGACGTCGTCTTCGATGTCGTCTTAGACGTCGTCCTTGAGGTTGTCCTAGACGTCGACCCCGACTTCCCCTTTGAGGTCGTCCTAGAGGTTGTCCTTGAGATCGCCCTAGAGGTCGTCCTAGACGTTGTCTTTGATGTCCCCTAGGACGTCGTCTTCGATGTCGTCTTAGACGTCGTCCTTGAGGTTGTCCTAGACGTCGACCCCGACTTCCCCTTTGAGGTCGTTCTAGAGGTTGTCCTTGAGATCGCCCTAGAGGTCGTCCTAGACGTTGTCTTTGATGTCCCCTAGGACGTCGTCTTCGATGTCGTCTTAGACGTCCTTGAGGTTGTCCTAGACGTCGACCCCGACTTCCCCTTTGAGATCGTCCTAGAGGTTGTCCTTGAGATCGCCCTAGAGGTCGTCCTAGACGTTGTCTTTGATGTCCCCTAGGACGTCGTCTTCGATGTCGTCTTAGACGTCGTCCTTGAGGTTGTCCTAGACGTCGACCCCGACTTCCCCTTTGAGGTCGTCCTAGAGGTTGTCCTTGAGATCGCCCTAGAGGTCGTCCTAGACATTGTCTTTGATGTCCCCTAGGACGTCGTCTTCGATGTCGTCTTAGACGTCGTCCTTGAGGTTGTCCTAGACGTCGACCCCGACTTCCCCTTTGAGGTCGTCCTAGAGGTTGTCCTTGAGATTGCCCTAGAGGTCGTCCTAGACGTTGTCTTTGATGTCCCCTAGGACGTCGTCTTCGATGTCGTCTTAGACGTCGTCCTTGAGGTTGTCCTAGACGTCGACCCCGACTTCCCCTTTGAGGTCGTCCTAGAGGTTGTCCTTGAGATCGCCCTAGAGGTCGTCCTAGACGTTGTCTTTGATGTCCCCTAGGACGTCGTCTTCAATGTCGTCTTAGACGTCGTCCTTGAGGTTGTCCTAAACGTCGACCCCGACTTCCCCTTTGAGGTCGTCCTAGAGGTTGTCCTTGAGATCGCCCTAGAGGTCGTCCTAGACGTTGTCTTTGATGTCCCCTAGGACGTCGTCTTCGATGTCGTCTTAGACGTCGTCCTTGAGGTTGTCCTAGACGTCGACCCCGACTTCCCCTTTGAGGTCGTCCTAGAGGTTGTCCTTGAGATCGCCCTAGAGGTCGTCCTAGACGTTGTCTTTGATGTCCCCTAGGACGTCGTCTTCGATGTCGTCTTAGACGTCGTCCTTGAGGTTGTCCTAGACGTCGACCCCGACTTCCCCTTTGAGGTCGTCCTAGAGGTTGTCCTTGAGATTGCCCTAGAGGTCGTCCTAGACGTTGTCTTTGATGTCCCCTAGGACGTCGTCTTCGATGTCGTCTTAGACGTCGTCCTTGAGGTTGTCCTAGACGTCGACCCCGACTTCCCCTTTGAGGTCGTCCTAGAGGTTGTCCTTGAGATCGCCCTAGAGGTCGTCCTAGACGTTGTCTTTGATGTCCCCTAGGACGTCGTCTTCGATGTCGTCTTAGACGTCGCCCTTGAGGTTGTCCTAGACGTCGACCCCGACTTCCCCTTTGAGGTCGTCCTAGAGGTTGTCCTTGAGATCGCCCTAGAGGTCGTCCTAGACGTTGTCTTTGATGTCCCCTAGGACGTCGTCTTCGATGTCGTCTTATACGTCGTCCTTGAGGTTGTCCTAGACGTCGACCCCGACTTCCCCTTTGAGGTCGTCCTAGAGGTTGTCCTTGAGATCGCCCTAGAGGTCGTCCTAGACGTTGTCTTTGATGTCCCCTAGGACGTCGTCTTCGATGTCGTCTTAGACGTCGTCCTTGAGGTTGTCCTAGACGAATGCTATCGCAACTCGTAGACAGCTAACAATAGTGGTTTCTGTAGCAATCTCTTATCTGCTGGCTTGCTCGTTTGCTCCCTTCGACCTGACACACTCCCATCTGAGTGAAACGACGATAGTTGCCGCTCCGGCAACTGTGATTCCGCA